GTTAAAGCAGATGTATTAAGAAAAATTAACTATCAAGAGCTTTATAGTATAGTATAGTATAGTATAGTATAGTTATAGTATAGTATAGTTATAGTATAGTATAGTGTAGTAGTATAGTATAGTGTAGTTATTAGCTTTGCCGATCAACTCCTGTTTTTGTTTTGTTTAAGTAATTTTAGATGAATATTGCGATTTTAAAAGTCCAAATTCTCGCATAATGATCCCTGGGTGTCATATATTATAACTATAGCAGACACAAGCACAGTATGTCTGCTTTTCAATTATTGCATGTTTTTACACCTTTTATAATGACTGGCATAGATCTGTTTTTGTTTCAGATGCATCCCTTAGAGTCTAGTAACACCGATGCATGATTATAGGCTGCACTTATAGATGTGGTCAACTCACAGATCAGAGGACCCCCCACGGTGCACTGTCACCATGCACAGAATAATGTACGCCACGATGCAGACGAGCTGTGCTTTTCCCAAGTCTACTGATGAATGCATCAAACAGTAATAATGACAACTTAGTTACAACTAATCAGACTTAATAAATACCATAATGTAATCTCTAGGCTCTAACGAAGGGCATGGCAGAAAATAATGAGATTAATTGTTGTAAATAGGGCTGGGTGATATAGCAAGAACATTTTTTATTTTTTTTTCCTTTTAGTGATAAACTGAGATTTTCAATTTTATGTTTTCCTATTAAGAACAAGTAAGTATGGTTATTAATACTACTGTTGTGAACAAAAACAAGGCACTTTAAATAAATGCAATTTAACACAGAAAACGTTGTCCAATTTATTCTTGCAAAGTCTGAACTCTTCTTCAAAACATTATTTCACTGACAGAGGATTGGCTGATCATTGAATTAAGCTAAATTTGTAGCTGTAGTTCATGTGTAGGCTCTCATGATAATTACTATATCGACTTATCGTTTAATTTATGCAAGGTGGATCAGTCATTTTTGGGAGTCAATATTTATCGTGTGTATGTTTTCTTTACACTACTGGGGAATGTTTGGTTATTTTTTTGTATATATGATAAGATTTGAGCTGTAGAAGTTTGAATTAATAACTTCCATAACTCATTACAGATGCAAACTAAGTAAAGTGTTTCATTCTACAGTTTATTTATTACTCTTTTTTTTTTTTTTTTTTACAATATTGTACATTAAAGGATACTTCTTGTGGTTTAAATCTTCTCTTGGGTTTTTGTGTCAGTGGCATAAATTAGTTTTAATATTATCGTTTAATGTCTATACTTACTTCATCAATATACAGTATCACACTTCTAAATTTGTTATTGTGTGTTCCTCTGATCTAAATCATGCACGTCTAAGGGGAGTGGTTATTCCCTGACTGCAGACACATTTTCAGAGTTTCCAGGAAAAGGAGGCTGCCTCTGCTTCAGCGAGGGCGGAGGGAGGCTCAGAGTTCTTATCTATGTTATAATGTTGTTTCCTCATTATAAACATACCGGAAGTTATGTTTTGTTTCATTCACACATGTTAAACAAACAAATTATGCATATTTAGACTGAGTTCTTCTCTCAATCAACACTTTGTAATGCCATGTGACAATACAAGATGCGCTCCAGTGTGTTTTTAAACTCCATTCACCTTGATTTCAGCACTGAATTGACAATCTCTACCAAACTAAAGGTAAAAGGCTACAAGACATCACAAGGTGGAACGGATCATTTTGAGCTTTAGGAGACGTAGACAGACTAATAATAAAGGATTACTCAAATGTGTGAATGAAACACAGCTCCAGCACAACTCCAGGTATGCTTAAAGCTCACATAAGTAAATTTTCCATAACACAGGACCTTTAAACTTGCGACAGACTGGAGCTAGGACTCATTCTCAGCTGTAGCATCAAAGGCAGTAGAGAGGGAGCTAACCATCTGAGCACTAGAGACGCAACAGAAGTCTCACTCTGGGTCTCTGACGTGAAAAAGTAACAGCTTATTCAAGACTGCTGCTCTATTCAAAAGGTAAAGACACATTCAGCTGTAATATGGATGAAATACATAATGTCCTTGTACATCAGTATCAAAGAGAAGAAATGAAGGCTAATCACGAAGCATATAATACGATACCCAGTCATAACATTATGAAAACCTGCCCATTAGCTTACTTTGACTTTTACAGCCTACCATGACCCACTAGATAACAGAGAGACCGTAACAGATAGGGAACAACACATGAAATTACTTGCCGTTAAAATATATGCGCATCATTGACTTAAAAACAAAAACTCATATTTTCAGACACTTACTAAAGCACTGACAATTTACCTTACATTTATTCAATTACAGGTGGTTTTATAGATCAAACATCCCGATAAAAACAGGCATTCTGACTGTGAATGAGGTTGCCTCTCCACAGATCTGACCCGTAACTTGGTCTGGTTTGGTCTTCATGAAGATAAAAAGGTTTAATACCATACTGTGGAACATTCCAGACAAAGCAATAACATCTACAAGAAGAAAAGCATTAAACAGAGCCTCCACCAGTAAGGTTACACAATGCACCTTTAATGCGTTTGCATGTTTTCATATAGTATTGATTTTATTGGAACTCTGCACTCTGGTCACCTTGTGTTTTTAAATAAAGATTGATTGGTTTCTAATAAAAAGAATGTCATTAATGTTCTGCATGATGTTGTAATAACTGAATAGGCATAAATTGTCTCCATGGAAGCCAATGTAATGTTATACTGTGGGGAAACAGGCAAAGCAGTAACGTGTTCATGGAGACGGGTCAGATGGTGTACATTTACATATAGTCCTCCTTTAACTGACACTAAAATTCTGATTGCATTGTTACACTATAACACTAATGACAGCATATGTAGTGGTTAGAATTGGTCTTAAAAAGGTGCTCCGTGTAACTTGTCTTTGTGATGATGTTTTTGCTTTGTCTGGAATATTTCACAGTATATAATTAAATGTTAGCCTGATTCATCAGCCGGTTTCACTTCATGGACCCCGTCTGACCTTGCAGCATTAGAAGTCGTTCGCTCAATGGTAGACAGGTACTTTTTTTATTTAACCATTTGCTGCTATTTGGTTGTGACGTATGTAATGCGCTACTAACGGGGCTAACTGGTATATTAAGCTTTTCCCAAATCCCGTAGGATGAAGGGCAATAACGTCTTTCCCCTTGAAAAAATTGACAAAATATTCTTTGTTTTGGCTTTAAATTCGCAATCTCCGGAATCGTTGCCAACACAGAATGTATGGCTCTTTGCGGATTGGCTGGTGCCCAGACTCGCATCATTTAGTGTATTCCGATTCCTGACCTAGTCGCTGGAGAGAACTGAAATTGAGCAGAGGCACTAGGTGGCACCAGCCTGGCTAATTAAATGTATCCATCTTGCATTCATTCAATTAAAGTTGTTTTATTGCTCAAAAATGCATTCTTACTGTGTGTGGTCACCTCTCCATAGAGCTGGCCTGTAACTTAGGTTGATGGCATCACGTACTTGTTTTTATAGAAATGGAGAAGTCGAATACTATATTGTGGCAGATTCCAGGCAAAGCAATAACATCTCCAAGGAGACAAGAAGAGAGTGGATCCTCCACAAGAAAAGTTACACAGTGCACCTTTAAGATTGGGTAGCCAGTTCAGTTCTTGTCTGTGCATACTATTGTTGTGTCCATAACAACTATTGTTGTGTCCATAAGCAAGAATAAGACCAAAGTCACAGTGAGTTCTGCTGTAACAGGAAGGGCACCCAGCATAAAAATCGGCCAAATCCCTGTAACTGAAGCACAAGGCCACTCAGCATCCAAATACTGAAAGGTGAAAAACATATTTTCTTGCCACAGACTAAATACAATCAAATTGCTAGACCTTTGTGCAAAAATGACATTTATTAAAAGCATTTTGTTGCAGTGACTGAAAGCTGCACACTGTTGCTGACATATCTCCTTTCTTTAATGCTTTCTTTTTAAAGTTGTTGTCAGCACCAACAGGGGAATGGGGAAAAGGCATGGACAGCATATCCAAGTGGTTTCTGCTGAGGCTAATTACTACTGTTTAGTAAATCGTGCAAGAGAGAATACCGCTGGGCATGTTATGGGCACAATTTGCTGCTACTGTAGTTTTCATGCTTGACCTGGCAACAATGGGAGTCAGATACAAGGAATAAACTCAACTCACGATATATCACGTTTTGTTGATTGTAAATGTTCAAAACAAAATGTGAATTGAGAAGGGTTAAACTACAATGCACCAATACACAAAGCTCCAATTACACTTGTATCTATTTCTGCGTGGCTTATTACAGAGCTCCAAAAAGGGCTTTCCTCACATTCACAGCACATTATCATCCAGAGGCAGTAATTAACTATAAGGAAATGGCTTGTTAAACTATTGTTTAAGCATGACACCACAGCTCAGCCAAGTCAATTTGAGTATGCACATGCGATAAGCACACAGGAAACTTGGGCACGACTGTGTTCAAAGAGCTTTCCCCAGTCCAGAGTCATGGAGGCAACAACCATGACATAATATAAGCTAAACAGTGAACTCCTGGTGCATGAGCACCCAACATGCAGCGCGCCTTAAATGCTAATGTATGATTGGAAATCTGTCAAGTTTACGTCCCAAGACTGAATGCTGTTTATAATAACGCGATTCCCACTGCGTCCATAGACTGACAGGCGCTTATCCTTCATTCAACAGATGCGGTGATGCACAAGACACGGGCTTTAATGACAGCTTGACAGGTGCACTGTTGTCTGCAGCTTACAGCAACCTGCTTCCCTTTGTGCATGAGCGCGTGGAGGATTTACTGTATGTGCTGGTTAACTGTGCAGCTGCACACTATTCAAAAAGCATCCTACTGTGGACAATGTCAAAGAAGAACAGAATCACAATACACAAGCGCACGTGCCTTTGCAGGGCGCACAAAGACAATAGTAGCTCACTGACAGTAAACTCACGCATGCAAATGTGTATTTAAATCCTAAAGTTTCACTTACCCAAATGGGTGCACGGGTGCGTGTGTTCTCTTCCACTGAAACGGATCCAGGGGGGTGTCCCGTTGGATGCAGTGCCCTCGCTGCGGTGCTGACTGTCCGCTGGACGCCTTCAGATGGGCTCGCCCTGTACGTATCCCGCGGTCAGCAGTGGACCTGTCAAAAGTCCCATGTTTCAGCCGTTCTCTTCCGGAAAACGCGACGAGCGCAGCCCCAGCCCCGTGTGCACCCGGTGTGCGCCAGCGGCAGAACAAGCACCAGCTGGCTATTGTTGCGGCAGCTCCGCACTGAGCAGCAGCGGCGGTAGGGCTGGTCTCACTTTATACACTCTCTTCTCTGAAACACGGCTACACTCTACACACGAGGCGAGGCAAGTTTTCTCATTCGACAGAAATGAACCCATGGTCCTAAGATCCGCCTCTCTCCAGCGCGGCCAATCACACACACGACACCATGGCAGCGCTTAAATGTGACATAATGACATCCCTGTAAAATCATTATTCGGCTCATTTGCGTGTATTTGAATAACAGTCTTTATTTCGCTCACATTAAAAGTAATCGAACGTTTTAATCCTAAAGAGATCATCAAAGTAGCGCCTCTAGTGGCTACGTCCAATTATTCCCTCTGATCAAGATGGAAGCAAGTGATAATTATAAGCCATTAAAAGTTGAGTGTCTAGACCAGTATTATCAGACGCTCCGTGTACTTAAAGGTGCACTAATCTAGACTATAGGCCTATATGTAATTTATGTTTCTGTTAACTGCTTGTCTAAATGAAGATGTTTGTGTTTTACCTGGAATGTTCTACAGTGTGGCATTAAACTAATAAATCGCCATGGAAACAAGCAGGTGACGCGGTGAGGCCAAGTTACATGTCAGATCTGTGAAGAAAAGACCCTTTACAAAGCAAAAATGCGTGTTGTCAATGTATTTATTTATTTATTATTTTTGCAATAATAACTGAAAAAAGCAAGACAGATATTGTGTAACATCTCAAGCCATCAAGAAGCTGACACACACCCGTCAGAAATGTATCTTCTTCCTGTTTTTTTTTTTTTTTTTTTTTTATGTGTGTAAGACTAAAGGTCATATTTCCCCAGTCTTATTGCTGATGTTTTTCAGTTATTGCTGTAATGTTACATAATCATAAACATGGCTTGTTCCCTTTATACAGCATACAAAAAATACTGTGGACCACATCAATATATTTACTTATCGGCTTTGTAAGTCTTAACCTTATCAAGTAAAACTGAAACACCCTCATTGCAAACTGGTTTGTGTATTTTTCCCTTTGACATGATGGATGGATGTTAACAGTTTGACATTTTCAGTATGATGTTTTAAAGGTTCTCTATAGGTCCAAAATGGACTCTTGTGAGTTTTATGTCATGTTATATTGCTCTTACATTCTCAAAAACATACCTGGAGTTGTGTTTGTTTCATCACACATGTTTGAGTAACCCTGGATTATTAGTCTGTCTTCACCACCAAAACTCAAAATGCTTTGTTCCACCTTGTGATGTCATGAAGTGGTAGATTTTAAGTAAGTAAACATCTACCTTTTACCTTTAGATCAATAGAGATGAACAGTTTCAGAGCTGAAATCATCCAAATGATTCTAGTGAAGGTGCATGGAGTTTAAAAACACAGTGGAGCACTTCCTGTAATACCACATGACATCACAAGATGGACAGAGTGTTTCAGTTTGAGAGAAGAGCTCAGTAAATGTGCAGAGTTTGTGTGTTAAACATGTGTGAATGAAACAAAACACAACTCCATGTTTTTGATTAGGAAACATTATAACAGATCAGAAAATAATTATAATAAGCATAATTTTGGTCCTTTGAGTAGTAGGTAGCATTTCTTTGCCTAATCCCAGAAACTAACAGAGCTTCCAACCCCCTTCAAAAATAAATAAACACAAAAATTGACCTTACATGACCCTAGCTTATTCTTTTTCCCCATAGAGTGATTTGTTTTTAGTCTTCACCGTATGAGGCCATTCAAAAACATTATCCAAGAAGATCTGTATTTCATAACAAAATTTAACCACAGCCCCCACTTTTACCTCCTAAATATACTTCTCTCCCTCTCTTTGACTCACCAAAAGCGTGTTATGTAACTGTGAATGGGTCAACTAAACGTAGCTTAGTTTTTGTAGTGGAAGCTGGTCAAGAGAATACCTCTTTTCCTATTGCAGCCTGAAGAGGAAAGTTCACATTGAGTTCATTTAGTTTCTTGGCAACAGTTTTGGCCTCAAGCAACAACTACACAGTGAGATGAGGGGGGATAGTGTCCTGCAAAAATCCCCTCCAAACTCCACACTTTACAGAGCAGGCGTTTGTGTGGCTCCGTCATTGCTGGTGGTATGTCTGTGCTATAGTTTATATGAGTCATCCTCCAACAGCCCACGATCATACCTTTTAAGAGCAGGGGGAGAGTAAACTGACCCCTGACTGCTGAAGCGCAAAGCATGCATCCTAATCGTAAAGATAGTTCTGGATCTGATATATTAGACACTTTTAATGGTGCCATGTGAATATTAAAGCTGCACTATGTCACTTTAACTCTCTATGGAAACATGGAGGTGACACTACCAGGCACAGTTGCAGACTTGTTACTAGGCCTGTTAAGATAATTACTATATTGACTTATCGTTCAATACATGAAAGCTGAAACTACATCTTTTGGGGCTCGATATTTATTGTGCGTACCATTTAGACTGAGACTTAGACAAACTTTATTGATCCACAAGGGAAATGATTTGCTCACACATCACAATATAAAATAAAAACAAAGAGCAAAAATATAAATGGTAAAATTAATTCTAAAAAAGTAACTAAAGAGATAGCAAGAGGCAGGTGTCAAATAAGACATAATTATGTAAATGTAAATGTACAAGTAAAACTAAAACTAGAAAAATAAGTAATAAAATTGAAAAATAACAGCTTTATACAAGAGGTCATGGGAGTACAGTGCAACAATGATATGATCATTGTCATGACACGGATTGTCCGTTACGTTGTTGTACAGTTGTTGTACAGTTGTTGTACAGTTGTTGTACAGTTGTTGTACAGTTGTAGAGAGTATTATCTGTTACATAAGGGTGAGTTGTTGTACAGTGGTGTGGAGTAGGGTATGAACGTAGTCCTGTATCTCACTGTTTGTTTGTAAAAGTGGGGAAATTTGGGATATTTTTCTTTTATTACAATAATGTTTGAGCTGTAGAGGGTTGAAATAATAGTTATTGGTTCTTTCTGCTGTTTATTTGTTGCAGCTCAGGCCTTTTAATGATACTATCTATTTTACAATGGTTTACAAAGATTATCTTGCATTATTGTTATTGTGCCATTAGCATAAAGTTGTTTTATTGTTATCATTTATCTCAGTATATATCTAGCAATATATTGTACTTAAAAATGTGTTATTGTGACAGCCCTACCTGTAAGAATGCATGTTTTGTGCCAATAACCTGTAATTTAATGTAAGTTACGTGAGTGGATTTAATGCCATATTATGGATAATGGATTATGGATAAAGGGAAAAGCAAAAACATTGTCATGATAGAAGCAAGAAGGTGGTGAATCCTTCACAGGAAAGTGATTGTGCACCTTTGCTGAACTTTACTACACAGCCATGTGGAGTCACCCATGAGATTTTCCATTGTATTGTGGTGTTCATATTGATCTGTTGTGGAATTTGATGGCTGAGTGTACTGACACACATACTAGTACACACTTCTGGCATCAAGTTTCATTTCCTATTGAAAAGAATGTAAAGAGCATTATTCACTTCAGTGTAAGAAACTATAGCACATTGTATGAAGTAGCTTTGTAGGTGAAGGAGAAGTTGTGGTGACGCCTGGTTGGGTTTCAGACTGTCCAGGAGCTCAGAGGTCAAAGTCAGTGGAGATGCCCCTCCCCATGTGGTTTCACAGGAGCATGTGGTTTCACAGGAGCATGCCTCATCACAAACAAGCACAGAAGAACACAAACTCTGTACAAATGTTGTTATGAACCAGCAGCCACCACATGGTGTTTTCTTTGATTCTAGGGTCTCTTTGAATCCTTCTGTCTGTAGTTTGCATCATCAAATGATTTGAGATCCCTTTTCTCCTAACACATTCATATTACTGTTGCAACATGAATTAAAACCCCTTTGAAATCCATTTGATTTTTCTGCATAAAATCTTGTTAAAGGTCAGTCAGCTCAGTTTAGCTCATATTTGTTTTGTCTATTTGTGTAAATTGCATTTGGTCATTTGAATCTTCTCCTGTGACCTGTGATTTTTACAACAGAGTGAACAGTAAACAATTGTTAAGTTGTGATCAATTCTATAGGTGCAAGCTACAAAACATTTCTAATAGAGGGTCCACCCCCTGCTTATCTCTACGGATGTCATTTATCTCCAATGTTTTATCTACAGTATGGGATTAATTATGTATCTCCATGGAGACAAGCAGGTAATGCTATCTGGCCAGGTAACATCTGTGGAAAGGCGACTACTCACAGTAAGAATGCATGTTTTGCAAGGTATTTCTTTTAATATGCGACAAAATAATAACCTCCTCCTTTTTTCTGCACCGGAAATGTTCCCAAGTGTAACTTTAAACATTATCATCATTCATATAGTGCATCAAATCTCACGATGTTCTGCATCAGCCAGTCTCTTGTCATTATCCTGAGGTGAGTGCGTCAGGTGCTGTGTGACCCGCGCCTGGGTTTTCAGTGGAACAGGCGCCCTGCTGAGTTCCTCTTTTGTGCTTCCTCTTGGGCCCGCACGCGATGGAAATAAACGCCGTAGTCACTAATGAGATCCTCCTTTTAACACCACCAGTCCCCAGATTGCGCCTTCACCTCAGGAGCGGCACCCGGGAGAGGATGTGCGTCAGCCGCATGTGGTCCAGACGCGTTCAGTACAATAAAGATGAAGGTAGCGTACGATTTTCCTTTTGCAAAGTGATGTGGATCAGAAAATTACTATTTGCAAGGCCTGATTACTTCACAGACCGATATTTCACTAATCAATAGTATGGTAAAATGATGTAACAGCTCCCTCTGCTGGCCATAACACTCATCAGACTCTCAGGTCATAATAAAAGAGGGTTTGACATGAGCTACAAGGTGTTTTTTTTTTTTTTTTTTTTTCATACTGGCAGCTAAGAATTGATTTCATGGGGCTCCAGATTATATGAGGAAACATAAAAAATGTGATAGTCTTGGCAAGTGGTAAGTGTAGATTCCTATACATTAGCCTGCCAAAATAATTGATCTAAGTCTATGTCCTCAATATAAATACTAAAACTACAAAAAAGGCTACTTGATCATTTTACAGGTAGAATCCCTTTTCTGTTGTCATGAATGCTAATAGTTTTTATTGGGGTACTGTACAAATAAGTTTAAAGTGGGAATATTGCCAGCATGTAGGTTCTAATTCTAATATTTTTTAGAATTATTATCATTGAATCAGTGTTTTGTTGCTTTATCAAATGGTGGATGATTTAAAAATCAGGGGGAAAGCATACATCAGAAATAGATTTAAGCAAAAAACAAGACTACTAAATAGATAATTTAATATGTGCTTATGAGATTAGCTTGTGTAGGTCAACTTTGAGCATGTAAATGAACATACAACACAAGGCTCTGTTTAAATAACAGATAAATAATCTTTATTTCCACATCTTTGTCATTTATAAAATTATGTGTCCACATTTGATATTAACAAGGCAATACAGAGAGTCTTTATTTCTCAGTGGTGGAACAGAGGCTCTAGAGACAATGGAAAAGGGCATGAGGAGTTAGATGTACATATGAGCCAATGCAATATATATTTATTAGTATGTAATTCTCAGACCCTCTCAGATCGTTGAGGATCTCTAAAGCCTGCATCCGCACCAAGCCCTTCAAAGTACAGTTCTTAAACTTCATTTCCCAGAATTCATCACTGCTTAGTGCTCAGTGTAAACCAGACACAGGAACATTCTCACAGCCTTTTTAAGTACACTTCAAAACCATCAACATCTTAAGACTGTAGTTAGCTCAGGGACTCATTGCTATTCTTAACATTACAATATATTCTTCCTCTATGATAAAAACACAATATCCCAGCAACTGTAAAACCAAACGAAGAAACAACCTTCCTATTCTACGAAACAAACCAGATCCTAGTTGCTCAAAAGAAAATGTAAAAATAACGTATCTTGCAATTCTATTGTAGTCGAGTCAAATGTAAAATTATCAAAATTTAAATATTAGATACTGTATAGGTTATTATTACAGTAACAAATGTCCATGCCATCTTGATGTATACAGATTCAGTAGTAAATTACAAGTTTATACAAAGCTTTAGTGCCAGCGTGTTTAGGGTCAATGGAGATCTGGGACAGGGACAGATGCTCAGCTAATTTGTCATCCATACAATGTTGTTTGCACATCAGATATCAGATAAGTTAACTGTGGACTTTATTACAAGCAATAACTTTAAAAATATGAGACAAACATGGACACCTAAGAAGATTTACCATTAATCGCTTGGGAGGACTGACACACTGTAAGCAAATGTAATCGTATACATTCATGTCTTCAATGGTGGGTTCTATTCAAATGGTGTCATGCCATGTTTTGAAATGTAAAACAGAAGCCATAAAAGTAACCGACCTACCTACTGGCCCACTTATAACAATAAAACTGGTCCGCTGTACAAATTAAAATGTACACGTTCTATAGGCAGATAAAAAGATACTATATTGATCTATAAAGCACCTTATTTTGAAGCAAAGAAAGACTGAACCCAGAGGTACAGCCCGAGCCTTCCCAATCTCACAGAGCCCCGCCAACAAACCAGGGTTAAGACTTAATACACACGCTTTAGATGGCTCTTTCAGTCATACACAACACATTTGAAATCCTTTGAATTTATATTATTACATCAGTAAGACCCAAGTGAGGCTTTAAAGCATTGAGAGGAGCAGAGGAAGCAGACAAAGTGCACAGCAAAGGGGCTTTCTATTGAACACACAACTAAAGCTCTAACATTGTTACAGGGAATGTCAAAGGCAGGCAAATGCACAGGCACATGTCAATAAATTACACATTATGGACAGCTACATTTATTATCATTATATTGTATTTTTAGTGGGAAAAGTAGTCAGCACAATAGGTAAGCATATGCCCTCTAACCAGCGAGAAACCAGTTCAAATCTTGATTGTAAAGCAGTGTTTGTGTCACACACGCAGTAACATTAAAGTGTGTATGACAGAGTTTTAGGATTCTCTAATTTTGACTTAATTTGATTGGATTATCTAGCCTAATTCATCAGATGCTTTCACTTCGTAGAAACCGTTTGACCTTGCAGCATTAGAATTAATTTGCTTGACAGTAGGCGGGTACTTTTTTTAAATTTAACCAATCGCTGCTATTTGGTCGTGACGTGGGCAATGTGCTGCTAACGGGGCTAACTGGTATATTAAGCTTTTTCCAAATCCCGTAGGAAGAACTGCAATAACGTCTTTCCCCTTGATAAAATTCACCAAATATTCTCTTTGTTCCGGCTTTAAATCCTTGATCTTGTGAATCGTTGCCAGGAACGGTCAAGTATATTCTGATTCTTGACCTAGTCTCTGGAGAGAAATGAAACTGAGCGGAGGCACTAAGTGGGGTCAGCCTGGCTACGGATTATCTCTATTGTAAATATAAATTATAGTTTTACACCAATCAAAAATCACATTGCGAAGAAAAGTTAAAAAAAAGAAAAAAGTTCAAAATAACAAGAAGTAGAGTTGTAAAACACTGATGACACTGAGTTATGGAGAATTCTATCCAAAAGTTTGTCACAGTTTACAAGTAATAAATAAATTTTTTCTGATACTTTCAACATTAATTCAATAAAATAAAAGCCGGTTGGTGTTTTAGAGTTTTGCTAGGTAACAGTAATGGAATTATCTAGAGCAATGTCACAATTTCCAACCAGGAAGTGACGTTTTAAACCTAAAAATGAGTAGTCTAACCTGTCATAGGCACTTTAAGTTGATTCATTGTAACAGGAATGACATCCAACATCCAAACAACTGCCAAAGCTGAACCACTTACCTTCTGATTGGTGGGCTAAAGTTTGACACCTACAATAAATCTGGCCTTTTCCCAACTACAAATACACAATTCTCAGATCCACAGTTAAGTACATGTTTATAATATTTTATCTTTGTACTAAACTTATGCAGCCTGCCTTTAAATTAACTACTTCAACTTGCCTTGGTATTGGAGTACTGTTATAATACATTAAGTCAATATTTTATCAACATATGCCTGTATATGAGGGAAAAGGGAAGTATACAGACAGGGGACACATTCTTTTTGCCACATTTTCATGAGGCGGTTCAGTGAGCTATATAAGGCATGGATGTTCTATATTTAAAAATATAATATAAAAGTGCACTGTGTAACTTTTCTGACAGAGGGCCTGACAGTCTTCATGGAGATGTTATTGCTTTAACTTACTTAACTTTTCAATTTCCATAGAAACAAGTGGGAGACTCCACCAGGGCAAATTACGGTGAGATCTGTGAAGAGGTACAGCAAGACTCCATGTTTTTAAAAGTATGATTGAGCAATAAAGACACCCATAACTGAATAAATGTGCGTTATATAAGTTTAATACTATATTGTGGAACAATACAGGCAAAGCAATAGCATCTCCATGGTAACAGACTGCCAATCTGACAAGTTACGCAGTGCACCTTTAAGATTTAAGTTATAGGCTTTTTAAAATTTGGTAATTTAATGTTTGAACTGCCAATCATTCAAACTGAGAATATGATTTAGTGCAAGTACATTCACTATTTTGTTTATACCTAATTTGAAGAGGCAGTGCAGGGGATGGACAATAGTGAGGCCTGACAGAGGACCACCTGATCTTCCACCTGACATTTTCACATTTAAAATTTTAGTTTTGCCTAAACATCCACCTCAATGAGTCAAAGAAGGTGGTAGCGCAACAGCAGTGTAAAGCTATAAAAATCCACAACAAGCTGCCTCCACATCCAGAAAAGAGAGCGAGGAAAGATGAGACACGAAAACAAATAGAACGAAATGAAGAAGTGGTTCAAGTGTGGACACAGGAGTGAACAGGGAGCAGTGGTGCTGTCACTGCCCACACAGTACTGGTGAAGTCCTGTCCTGGAGATGCAGGTGAACACAGGTGAGGTGCATCTTAAGCTCTCCACTTTATTCCTTTGTTAGTCTCTGAGGCTGGCATCATCCCTCCATCACCCCTCCTTCTTCTCCCCATCCCACTGTTCTTTTGCTTCTCTGCAATGTCCACCGTTGTTTTTTTTTTTTTGTTTTTTTTACTGTACCCTTCAAAAATCTATAAGCATCTTTAAAAAGCAGAGGCCTGGGCCAGTTTTCTCCTGATGATGCGTCATGCACACTTACTCATTGACTATTTTCACTGGTGCAGGCCCTGCTCAGTGGTGAGAGGTGGTCTGTGGACATGCAGGAGTGAGTGGGAATGGGAATAGGGTTCTATCTGTTTAAAGGAGCAGAGCTCTAGGAGTTTTGAGTGTTTTGGGAGAGGATCTAGTTCAGCTGCCATCTCCGTCGATATTTCATCTCCTCGTCAGCTGCAGAATGAAAAAGATAATTAAAATGACAAGATAAAGAGACATAGTCACAAAGAAAAAGCACAGACCATTAACTGTTATGAGTGTAGTGAATCAAAACTTACAAAGCTTAACAAACCCATATTTGTGCTAAATAATCTATGTTGTGTTTGGCAGTGACATTGCATGCTTTGAGCCATGCATTTTAATGGAGCAGGGAGGTTTGTTTACACAGGGAACATAATGTATCAGCATCTACAGCTACAAACTACAGTCACACGGTCTAATGAGAAAACACTATGAGCCGGAGATTAAGTACCTTTCCACAGAGTGGGAAATAAATATAACGACTTTAAGCTGCATCAGAATGCAGAAGAAAAAGAAAGAAGAGTTATTATTTACGTATTTATGAATATATACAGTATAAACTGTTTAACTGTAATATTACCTTCTAGATGATTCCTGGATACATATTTTAATGCCTCATCCAGGAGGATAACTGGGATGGAAATTTTCAAAACCACAATCCACTGAGACCACCGCAAAGGAGTGACCTGAAAGATGAGCTGCAGAACAGACACACTTTATTTGTAATTATTAACTTTTGATCTGGTGTAATCTAATCAGCAGAGGCCAGAGACCACCTCTGTGTGCGTCAGTGTACACAGCTGTCACAGCGCGGCACTCACCGGCAGAGGCTCCACGTACAGGATCAGGAAGTGAAGAGACAAGGACAGGACGATGGCTCCCAGCAGCCAAATATTGACCCAGGGAGGCATCCGCAGCAGAGACTGGTTCTCCGACAGACTGTCACAGTGGGACATGACACTTAATACTTCATGTCAAAGACACAAGGGACACTCTGCACAGGCTTAGTTACCCAGACAGTAATTCACTTTATATCAGAGGTTACAATAAACTTGACTACAACAGTTATCATTCATCATTTATAACTAAAAGATGATGTTTTAGTAGTTTTACTTATGAACAGGCTTCCCTTTAAAGCCCTCCAGTTATTTACTTATGCCATTTATTATATGCATTCTATGGAAGTCACAGGATTCACATCACATATACCAAGTCATATGACATCTGTGATATCCTCCAGAAATAATATTCCATGACTATTTCTTTAATATACAGTGACATTATGGGCTCTATGATTTAAAGGGTCCACATTACAATACTTTTTGATCTATGTTATAATGGTGGTTCCTCATCAAAAACATACCTGACTTTGTTTCATTTACACATGTTTAACACACAAACCCTGCATATTTAGACTGAGTTCCTCATTCAAAAAAACAAAACAAAAACACTCTGTTGTAACTTGTGATGTCATGTGGCAATACAGGTGCTCCACTGTAATTTTAAACTCCATACACCATCACTAAAATCATGAATTATTTCAGCCATGAAATGAAATGAACTAAAGGTAAAAGGAGCTGATAACTTGAAAACTGTATCATGACATCATAAGTTGGAATAGAGCATTTTCAGCTTTGGAGATGTAGACAGACTAATGACAAAGGGTTACTGAATATTGAAATGACAGTGGACTGACCTGTTGAGTGCATTGAACATTTCGATTGTCACCAGCACAGACAGGGCCATGGTGGTGGGGTAACGGGACTCAAACACATCACAGTCTATGTCGTTGAACATGGGGTTGTCCTCTGTACACTGCATGAAATGTCTCTGAAAGAAAACACATGCACACACACACACACACACATACAGCACTACATTTATACCATACTCCATACAACTGTACAACAACTCACCCTTATGTAATGATAACCCTATATCCTGTCAATCACCAGTTCATCTTTGCATGGTTTCTCCTCTTGTATATAGCAGAGATATATTTTGTATTACTATATTTCTGTATTTTATTTTTACTTGTACAGATATTTGTATAATTATGCCTTATTTGAATCCAGTCTCTTTCCATTTTTGGTACTTATATTGGATTTATTATTATCTTTTATATTTTTGATCCACTACTGAGCTACTGTGTCCAAATAATTTCCCTTGTAGATCAATAAAGTTTGTCTAAGTCTACAGAAAGAGAGTTAAGGATTATAAGTTTGTATGTTGATTTTTGACTAGGACCTTTGTGACCTGGCCTAATGGAGCTCACGTTTGATGGAGAAACATCTGAGAAAGTCTGGCCACACTCTGATCTACAAATGCTCTATTTTTGGCTGAATTTTTGAGCATCGGAATTGTTTCTCTCTTAATGATTCCTCTTATCAGTACTGCTTTGGACAGCTGTATCTTTAAGTACCATGTAAGCTCAGTTCCACTTGTCAATACCTGCTCTCGTCAGAAGACTGGGCCTGGTTAGTACTTTGCTAGTAGACCAGATGCCAGTTAATCAATCAGAAGCAGAATCAGGGCTTTTTATTTTTTTCCTTCACTACAACTAAACGTTTCAATGTCCATGTGGATGCTTTATGCCCACAGTGAAGGAGAGTCAAAACAGCAGCACTGGTCAGAGCGTAATGCAGGTACCAGCAGGAGCATTCCTCGTTAATGGGATTTACAATGCGACACATATGAGGAGCAGGGAGGGAGAAATAAACAACAGAAAGCCTTTACTGCCTGTGCTTAATCCTTACATGTTTGTATCTAGATATTTATTCAGCCACTGTATCAAGACAGACTTTCCCACTCACCAACTGATAAAAGGACACCTGTGGGCCCTCTTCATCAAACAGGTACCACCATGTGGCAGCGCTCACTGTCCCCAGACCCACATATCCTACAAAAACATAGAGGCACTTTGATTATGGCAATACTTGAAAGGAGAGATCAGAAATGACAAATGGCATGCAAGTCAATAAATAGAACAGCATATAATTAAAGCAACAGTATGTGGCCTGTGCTCTTAGATGTTTTTAAAAAGGAACTGCAGGGAGTTGTCAGTGCTTTAACCTTAACCTGCATATAAAAGCATGCTCACAAGTTTTTCCCATTCTCAGTGGGAAGTGAGAAGCTCAGAACATCCTAAATTCACTCACTGAGCTACAGAGGCTGCACTAGCACTGGTTGATTGATGATTGATTCCAGTATTCAAATTAGAGCAAGTACTTAAGCTTTAAATCAAGCAGGTTTCAGCCTTAAAAAAATGAGACTCATGTAATGCTCATTCTGATTTCTGATTTATGTCCATTGTTTTTGTAATTAAAAATAAATCAGCATATCTACAAAGATAGGACACATTTATGACATTTAATCTCAAAATCGTACATACTGTCCCTTTAAGAGTTGTTGTTATGAACTGAATACCTCCAATAGCCAGGTATCTGAAGAAGAGCCAGCCAGAGATGAGGGGCTCTTTGGGGTTGCGTGGAGGTTTGTCCATGATGTCCAGGTCTGGAGGGTTGAATCCCAAAGCAGTCGCAGGGAGTCCGTCAGTCACCAGATTCACCCATAGCAGCTGCACAGGGATCAGAGCCTCAGGCAGTCCCAAAATGGCCGTCAGGAAGATACTGCATCACAAAACACAGGTCAATGAGGAGAGGCCAACATGAAAAACTAGAGCTGCAGTCAACTTCTGCAGTTGTCCCATATAAATCCTTATATCTATATAAAATAATTTGTCAGCTAATATAAGTTTGGGTTGACTAAGAAACCGCCAATCGACTAAAGGAATGCAGCCCTTTGAAAAACAGTGCGTTTTTGTCCCTTACCAGACCACTTCCCCCACGTTGGAGGAAATGAGGTATCTGATGAATTGCTTCATATTGTTGTAGATGGCTCTGCCCTCCTCCACAGCAGCAACAATGGTGGAGAAATTATCATCAGACAGCACCATTTCAGAGGCAGACTTTGCCACTGCAGTCCCAGAGCCCATAGCAATGCCAATCTCTGCTTTCTTCAGAGCAGGGGCGTCATTCACTCCATCACCAGTCTAGAAAACAAAGCCCAGTGGATTAACTAAGATTAATATTTCTTATTATTGCAACAGAGTGTGTGACATCCAATCCAAAAGAAAGTTAAATCTTAATGAAATGGAATAAATAAAGATGTACAGTGTAACTTTTTGATCGAGAACATACCACATCTTTGTCTCCATGAAGATGCTACAGTTATGCCTGAACTATTTTTACCCACAGGTTTTTACTTGTGGATTCTTACTGTGAGCTAGGTCACCTCTCCACAGATCTGACCTGACCTGATCTGAATCTTCCTAGTCCTAGTGGCGGCACCTGCTTTTCTCCATGGGGATATAGAAGTTTAATGCCATATAGAGTAACATTCTAAGTAGAGTGGCAATATGCCAGACCAACCACCAAAATACTACAACCTTCAATAAAGGTTGTCTTTGAATGAACTGTTATGGCAATATCTATATACTTTATCTTTTTAATATGAACAAGCACAACATTTAGAGAAGCAAAACACTCATTCCTGTTTGTGAGGATAGACAGGATTATGCGATACAGATCTATGGTGACGGGGCTTAAAGCAGTCTTGCACAGTGCTGATTGGCGAGGTAAGGCTGACAGGAAAATGGAGGTTTTGTTGTCCAGACTCTGCTTTAGATTGTGCTGTCAGCTGAGACGTGCATCAGATGGAAAGCACACGGCCGGTCTGAGATGACAGCTTGAGATAGGAGCAGGACGTGCAGCGTGTCATGCCTTGGCAGGAGGCAACTCATGCAACAAATGTACAGTGGAGTCTGAATGTATAGTGGAGTACAGAACTGTGCAGTGGAACATGTTTGCATTTGTGTTAGGGGCAGAGAAATAAACAAGGAGCAAGAAATTGAACAAAAATGTTATTATTGTAGCTGGTATAGCAGTTGTGTTTGTACTGGAAAATGTTAAGTTACTAGTGTTAGACAATGTAAGTTGTTGACTCTTACCATGGCTGTAATCTCATCAAATGACTGTAGATATGCGACTATCTTGGACTTGTGTGCTGGCTCCACTCGTGCGAAGCATCTGGCACGTTTAACAGCCTCCCTCTGGTCATCTATGGGCAGGTCGTCAAACTCACGGCCCGTGTAGGCCTTGCCCGTCACTTCCTCCTCTTCTCCAAAGATCCCAATACGTCTGCAGATTGCCACAGCTGTGCCCTTGTTGTCTCCAGTAATCATGATCACACGGATACCGGCCTCGTTACACAGCTTTATAGAACCTATCACCTCCTTCCTGGGAGGGTCCAACATGCCAACACAGCCCACAAAGGTGAGACCCACCTGATGAAAACAAGTGAAGTCAGATTTTACCTCAAATACATAATGGCTGAAGATATATAAGCAATGAAAATATGAAAGATTTAGAAGTCCCTGTTCAATGATCAAACTGTTATTTGTGCCACTTAAGTTATTTATTGTTATGAATGATGTGTCACAGATTGACAGCTGTCGAGCTGCATTAGTGTGTGTCACATGACCCACACATCACATGTGTCAGAATCACTGAATGTGGCTTGGTTAGTTTGGTCAGTGAGAGGATTATCGTAGGGCTTTCTAGTTTTTAATCCTAAAAATATGATTTATCATTTAGGATACCATGTGGCTCAGTTATTTGTGGGTTATACAAACACATTTATTAAAATTGGTGGTGTTCACATTTTAGAATGAACCCGCACAGTGTTGTGTTAATACTTGTGGGCCTTTTTCAAACCAGCAGATGGTGCTGTAACAATAAAACCGCAACAGCACAGCATCAACCGTACCAACAAGTTGGGGAATGTACAGCACATTTGTAATTGTAATAACTGAACAGCTACACATGCTCATGTGCAGAACAGACACTGTACCTCATACTGGGCAAACTTGCTGGAGTTCTCCAGGTCCATGTCTTCCTTTCGTGGTGGAGAGTCATGAGTGGCGAGGGCAAGGCAGCGCAGAGTGTCCCGGCCCGTGCCCCAGTCCCTGATCTTTGACAAGAGCTGCTCCTTCAGAGCAGGTGTGAGTGTAACCCGGGACGACCCGACTCTGAGGTACTGACAGCGCTCTATCACGCTCTCTGGGGCCCCCTGAGGACACAAGAGAAAACAACATTAAAATCATATAATAAGCCTGGGTTCTGATAATGAATTGTGCCGGTAATATTCAGTTATACTTTGATAAACATCTTGCTCGGGGAGCCAGGTTTGACAGGGGTGCAGTACACAGACATGGACTTCCTGTCTCTGGAGAACTCCAAGGTGAACTCCTTCTTCATCAACTGTCTGATCACCTGATGGATGAGAATAGAGAGATAACAGAGGAGAAGAAGGAGGAAAAGTGGAGGAGAGAGACAGAGCTAAATAGCTTTGTTTGTGGGCAGCTGTCATCATGGCAACTGGTGGGTGACTGAACGCTGTGCAGAGCTCCTGACAACTGAAGGATGCCACTTGAGACAAAGCACTCATCCACTTTGTCTGGACTGTGTTATATTTTACAGTCCACACAGTGAATGCAGATGATACAAAGACTACATGGGTGGATATTTGTAAGTAGAAAAAAATCTTTAATTACTGCACATATAGGATTGACATACTTTGAAATATCATGTAGTAAAGGTCTTCCTCCACTAGATGTCCTTCTAGCACCAGGCCTATTTAGGATCATATTGACTCAGCCACATTTTATCTCACCTAACTGATGTTACCCTCTTGTGTCAGAGGACTTCTCCGACTAATGTCCTGTTATCTGTCGGTGTGACAAACATTTCCTCTCTATTTCAAAATTAACATTTTAAGTTGTAAAAATGTGATGTCTGTCCTAAAAATGCAGAAAACGCCTTTCATCAATAATATAGGTGTTCAGCTTATAGCCGTTATCCAAATGTCTATGCATAAGAACAAGCTCAAACACGATGCCCCCTCCTACTGTTTTGCAGCAGTTTTGTGTCCTATACAAATAATCCATGGTTAACTCCCTGTAGTCAAACATCAGCTTCTATCAACAACCTTTAAATGCCAAACAGTCCTTGAGTGAGACAATGTGAACTCCTGACATGTTGATGTATTGTACAGCAAGGTGGAGAGCAGCCAAAGCACAATTTACATTTCAAATATGCTCAACAAAAAGGTACAATAAGGTTAGGTCAACATGTTCGCAAGGAGGAGCTCTGCATACAAAAATAGCATAGTGGGAAAGGAATCCCATTAGCCTGTAAAGATGTAACGCTTATATGCAATAAATTAAAGTAGTAATTTCACTAGTTAACAGTTACACACAATTATATTTAAGATTTTACAAAAAAAAATATTTCCTAGTTTTTTTTTTAATTTTGTGATGTTTTGTGATCCATAACTGTTACCTGTCAACCATAAAGTAAACAAAATTCAAAATTCTGTTTAAACTGCACAATAGTTATGATTAGAGTAAGAAAAAATAAATGGCAACACATTTTGTTAATTCAATATTTAATCTGGCACAGAAAAGCTTCCTTTTGCATAATTTTCTATCTGTATTTTGCTGTAGCACTCAGTACTACTTCCTGAATTTTTATCATCTTTTTCCATAAACTGCCACGAAACTGATATACAAGCATGATAAATATTTACCACAGGCGCTCTCCCACCAAAACCAAGAAATAAAATGAAAAACATGAAAACCTATAATATGCAAACAAAAAACTGAGTGGTTCTTACAGAGTTGCAGACGCCGGCCCGTTCCACTTTGCTGAGTCCTGATAGGTTCGTCTTAAACACATTCATTTTCTCCACCAGAGTCGTGAGTGCAGTCTCTGTGGCTTCTCCAACCTTCTCGTAAACCCCTTTGGCCTGGAACACAACCACAATTACACATTGTTCAACCACCGATGTAAACATAGAGCCCAATGAGTGCCCTTAATACGACACCAGGGACAAAACACTGTTACTGCATGAATAACACATATAGTGACTGAGGCTAATAGGGCTTATTTACATTGCACAGTGGAGTAATCATGTTTCCAACTGAATGATAAGTCTGTCATGGTAACTAATTTTGAAGTGCGACATATTCCTTAAGTAAATATTGACGATAATATTTGCCACTGACACAATAACCCAAGAGTAGATATAAACCACAAAAACTGTTCTAAATCTAAATTTTGCATAAAAAACAAAAAAACAAAACCCATGAGCAGCAAAAAATAAACAGCAGAATTAGACACTTTAGTACTTAGTTTGCAGTGTCATAGAATTTATAAATGCAACCTTTTACAGCGTAAATCTTCATAATAATCATATAGCCAAAAAATATCCAAAGATTACCAATAATGCAAATAATAATAATAATAATAAATAAATATATTGCTGCAGCTTTCATATATTGAATAATATAATTATCATGACAGGTCTACTGAATAAAATGAAATGAAATGAATTTTACTCTGTTGGTAACAGGGGAGGAGGCAGGCATTTTTGGTTGGAGGAGCTGAGGGGATGCTAAGGTCTTCAATGGGGGTGTTCACTTAACATGTTAATTTAGAGCCTTTTAACAATACAACCCCTTATCACATTTGCATCGCTGTTTTTAATACATTTAAATGTAGTTAGCCCCAGTAATGACTCATTTTGAACAATCCTTTTTTGCTACTTGCTATTTGAACATGTTTAGTCGAGAAGTCCTATGCAAATGAGGCAAAAATCTTTGAGGGGCCATTCTAGGGTAGGATTAGTGCCCACCCAAGTCCCCCCATCAGCACCGCCCCTGGTTGGTAATAAGATGTAATAAGAAATGACCTTAACACTCTGCTATTCACAGGAGATATAAAGCAGTTATTGAATGCAACACCAGTGAGCACAGAAACTTCAGTGAGGTGAGAAAAATGTTAACTAATATAAAATGGCTTCAACTACACAGAGATGTGTTTTTGTTTTATTTAGCCAAGGTCAATAATAAGTCAAGGATTAATTGAGTTAAGATTGTGCTGTTCCTGCTCTATACTCTATACTTTCTTTGAACATGGATTTGCGTTTTTCTGTTCATCACCCCCTACAAGCTCATCCTTACAACATAATGATGCAATATATTTAATCTTTAAAAATGTTTGTGAGGAGAGAGTTTTGAAAAGACAGAAATACAAAAACATACAAGTCCAAATAGTATTAGCATGCATGAGAAGGATTAGTCTGAGAGAAACATGAGCAAAGAAAAATCTTATCGTGAGCCTTTCTCCTTATCATGGTTACCATGATACCATGGTGATGACAAAGAGGTGAGAAAAGCAATTTGAAGCAGAGAAAAAGATCAGAGTAAAATTAACTATGGCTGCAGGAGATATGGCTTTTTACAATGTGTAAAGTATGCCAGTCAGTAAGATGTGTTGTGCTGAGAATATATAAATATATAAAGAAAGAGTGGGCAAGCAACCTCATTGTAATCGAGTGAAGAGTCGTTGCACATGGAACAGACTGTAGCCAGCTCCAGAAGTCCATCATAGTCTCCACACTGGACAGGCCTGTCTCCCTTCAGTCTACAACAAAACACACACACATTAGTGGCAGCTGGAACAAAAACCCTTCACTCTGAACAAGACTCCACTACAGCATCATCTATATTCATCATAAGCAGAGCTGACATGCAGTGGTTTAGCTGCATACTTGAGTTAGGAAACATCACTGATAGTAATACAGTAGTAACAGTGTGTGTATCACAGAAAATGCTTTTGGACTGCATGACGACAGTGATGCTGGTCCCAGTAGAGAATTCACCCACACAATAACCCACACTCAGCTGTTATGAAGGCCACAGGTTTACACAGACTCAGAGACACAACAGTGAGATCAACATAATGCACCAGACTGTATGGGAACTGTTCGAGGGGCATTTTACTGAGATGAACCACTGTATTCTTATAGTGAGCAGGCAAGGCCCCAAGTGAAATGACAACAGTGATCTGCCTGTGCACATTATACTGTAAAGTGTAAAGATTAATTTCTGATGTCTCAAGACTACTTAAAGTCATGCTAAAACTACTTCAACAGGTAAAAAACAAAAAGTACTGCATTTTTCAAGAGAAATTGTGATACCTACATTTGTCCTTCAGGTGCATATGTAGATCCAGTTATGGTGAACTCATGGAGGCTACAGTTTGAGTCTTCCACTTTATCTGCAACAAACATCTGGAGACAAAGATACAAGGTGAGTAATTCCTTTCATTAGCATAACAATTATCAGTTACTTGGTCGTGATTTTATTTTTTCTGGTTAAATAGACATTATATTATACAGATAATTGAGAGATACAATGAGATTGTTTTGTTGGATAGTAACTAATACTGAGAAAATACCGAAAAAAAAAACTGCTTTCGTGCAATCAGGGACAATGTTCCGTTGGAATCATGGGAAAACAATTGCCTAATAGACAGAAGATTCACTGTCATGGTGCATTACAAATGTGAGAATAACAAAGTGGGCGGAGATGTACTACATGGAAACAACTACACGAGACTATCCCAGACAGTTGTTTCTGTGTCATGGTGGAATATAAAAGAAAGGACTAAGTGTGCCATTAGTATTTACCACAGACTGTATAAGAAGTGGACTAAGGGAGTGGGAGTTCATATAAGGAATAGGAATTTATCAATTTAATGGTCAAAATGGTGAAATAAAAACACCAGGATCATGCAGAGTGGGCTCACAGCAGCAGTTACAGAGGGAGGGATGAACATTTCTCAATGTAATATCAACTAGAAAGGGTCGATGGAGCCAGAAGCACCCCCATGAACACTTCCTATTTGGAACACGGTAGAGAGCAGATTAGCTATGTCCATTTATATATACAGTCTATGGCATTTACACAAATTCACCAATATACTTTATGTTCAATAGCTGTGCATATTCACCTGTGTAGCCATAAACATACAGAAACTGTCCATGTAAAATGGTCTTATAGTTCAGAAGTAAATGTAAGTAAATCTTCAAATAAAGGCATTTCCTCTTGACAGTTTGTGAAGACTTCTCCGGATCGCCAACCTCACTCCCTGGACTCTTTGAGTTTCCAGACGTGGGCATCATGGGAGTTTGTTCTGTTCACATCTAAAGCTTCATCAGTCACTCACACTGCCATACACACTTCAGTAACCAGCAGCAAAACAAGGCCGAGTCAGGATCCCAGAGCTGTCCACAATCTGCTTTGTTGGCAAATCTCCTATATCAGATTGCCTCAAGAAACACTCTGTAATGTGTGACTAAAATGTCAAATACAAATGATTCAAGAAGGCTTCATATGAGAACTACATAATAAGTATTGTTTATCATCCACATGACCCCTATAACTGCAGCACAATACCACAATACAACCACAAACAAGGTCATTTCTAGGATAGTTGTTGTTACATAGCATTTGTTTTTAATTCAGTAATAATTCCTTAAGAAGTTACTGAAAAATTTGCTACAACATGATTAGATAATGAACGCTAATTAACAGAGCTGTTAGTTCACTTCCTAGGCAACTACGTAGTGGGTCTATGTACTCTGCTATCCAAAAAAAGTAGAAGTCAAGTCTATGTCCCTTTGTGTGTAAACCAATGGTTATTTTAAGATGCTAAACCTAAATATAGCACTCATTTAAAAGCATTCTGATCTTATCTAGAGTTATAAATATTTACCAGTAGTGACCCAGCAGTTACATTTTGTTTTTGCAAATTATTTCTATGGAACAGTTGACAGTTAAGGTAAATTAAATGCAATTAGTCAATGAACCTGCCTAGGGACTACAGGTGGAAATTAGCACTGGTGCTACAACCTGGTACAATGCATCTCTACTGTTAAGGTTAATGTAAAAATTGTGCGCTGCCCCTGTCTCTTTAAATAAATAAAGTAAGTAAACACAAGGAAGCCAATTTTGACGTTCCATCTCAAGCGTTTAATGCAAATATTCCAAAATAAATGATAGATAACACTGCTTTATAACAGTGGCCTAGGTGGCAGTCATCTTCTAACTGCTCAAGCTCAAACTCTTAGGCTCCTTGAGCAAAACAATTCACCCTGTATGAATACAGAGTGTGGGAGAGTGATTGTTGTGGTCGGAGAAGCTGCACTGGCAGCCATGTTTGCATCAGTCATTACAATCATTAAGGCAGCTGCCTATAGAGCTGTAAGCTTTTAGTCGATTAGTAAATTAATCAGTATTGATCCAAAGGTAAGTCAACAAATCATTCTTATTTTGGTATTGTGAAGAGTTTGTATGTGCAAGAGCAAAAGGACAAGGCATATTGCAGAGCAAGATAGAGATTTCTGCATTTGTACAAACAAATACTCTATTTACTAGTCCTTTTCTTGCCAGTGCACTTGGGTCAAATACAGTTGGATCTTTGAGATTCACTTTGAGAACTTTCACAAATGCAAAGCCCTCTTTTAGTCAACTGAGGCACAGAGCAGGTCTTTAGTAGCCCAAGAATTACATTGGTATATAACTGTATTTCCTATTGAAGCACCAAAATATTGTTATTATCATTACCATTATCATAGTGACTGGATATTCATTTAATTTGCACACTAGTCTTCTATTTTTCTCTCTGGTCAGATACTAAAAAGAGCACACACTTCACACTGAGCAGGGTGTGAGGAACAGAGACTGGTCTGGTGGAGGTTTTTCTTTGACTGATCTGACTGTGCTTTGGTCTCCACGGAAACTAGACTCAGTGTGATGTGCGTGGCTCGCCGGCCCTGGCACCAGTCTGTAGTCTTTTACTCACTTCCTCCATCATTTGACTGGCGTCATGAGTAACCCTTTTAGGAGTGTGTTTAAAAAAGAACAGGAGAGCAGTGCATCAAAACACAAAGGGGAGTCCCGGAACACAGCCCGACTGGGGATATCCTCAAATATGAATGAATTTAAGGAAATGAGAAAACATTTAAGGAAAAGGCACACATTTACAAAAAAACAAAAAAAAACAAAACGCTGTCATCATCACAGCACAATTTTTTTTGATTTACCATATATGTTTAAAAAGCGAGGTTCTGTTCAAAATGGCTCATCGTTAACAAGTCCAAGAAGTATTCTCCGAAATGTTTATGCTCCTGAACTGATAATACAAGAATCCTATCAGAACATGTTTGTAGATGTCTAACCTACAGGTACAGCATTATTTTTTGAAACGATAGGATGTTTTCTTCTTTGCAAATTACCTTCTTTTATCTTAATAACTGGAGCTTTTGTGTACTATACTACAACCACTGCCATCACTGGTGCTAAGACTAACCCAAAAGTGGAAAACCACAAGCTGACTTTTGTTATTAAGGTTTTAGCTAAAATGAAAAGTACTACAGGGCTACTACAACTTCAACTATTATTATTAACAATTTTGCCACAAAGGTGAAAAAAATCAACTAGGTATAGGTTAACAAAAGAAATGCACTTAAAGTATGACTTAACCTAAATAAATAAATGTTGTGGATAATAGTGTCAGACTTGGAAAAACAAAAAGAAGCCTGTCAATAGGACTTATATAAGTAGCCAATGCACTTAAAATACAACCATCGATATAGAGGAAATGCATGGGCCAACTCCTAAAACTAAATGAGAAGAGTGTAGTTGCATAATAATTAATAGCTCCCTGCAGGAAATGAACCAAAAAAAAACTCTCTAAACGGAACTGCAGCTTATCTGAGAGCGGAGGACCCAGCTGCTTATCTCCCTCAGAGCTGAATGCAGCGAGCAGCCCACACGAGGAGGACAGGGTCAATATTTACCCCCAGCCCAATGCCACACTGTGAGACCAGCCTATGCTGCTACAAGAGGGAACTCCCTGGCACTCAGGAATACTAGACGTCATAACAGAAAAAGAGAGAGAGTGGGGAAAGAGAGGGGGAGAGAATGATGGAGGAGGGAGCAAAGAGAAGGTGAGGGAGGGAAGAGAGAGGGAGGGAGAGATGGCGAGAGGTGGGAAGAGGGGAGGGTGGGGTGGGGAGAGAAAGAGAGAGACTGAAGAGAAAGAAGGAGGGAAGGAGAGAAAGAAGGCACTGGAGGCAGCAAAAGAGAGAATGGGAGAGAGGGGGTGAAGGAAGGAAGAGAGAGGGAGGGAGACACAGACAGAGATATGAGATGGAGGGAGAGTGAGAGAGAAAGAAGAGGAGAGAGACAGAAAGAGAGAGACAAGAGCAGAGCAGGGAGGGAGGGAATAGAGAAAGAGGCAGACCGCTGTATTTTCTGTGCAGGAAGTCCCATAGATCCACCTCCATTTTGAAACAGAAAGGCCACAGTTTGACACGTGCAATTTCAGAGGGGAATAAAATTGAAACTCAATAGCAGCGTGTTGTGTTTCTGCAGTGGTTTACCAACGGCAGTAAACTAAATGAACAGTCAAATTCATTTTGCGCCTCATGCTAGTTAAAAAGGCAGAAGAAAAACAGTAATAAAGCCAAAATGAGCAAGCTATTCCTGAATAAAGAGTGAAGCTATTGCATTTAGTAAAAGGCCTATATTACGCTGTTTTCTGACCTGTTATAATGTTGTTTCCTCATTAAAAACATACCCGGAGTTGTGTTTTGTTTCATTCACACATTAAACACACAAAGCCTGCCTCAAACAGAAAATACTCTGTTATAATACAAGAAGTGCTCCACTGTGTTTTTAAACTCCATACACCTTCATTAGAATCATTTGGATAATGTCAGAGCTAGAATTGCCAATCTCTTTTGAACTGAAGATAAAGGTAGCTGTTAACATGATAACTACAGTTAGATGGGCTGGTGCCACCTAGTGCCTCCTCTCAACTTCATTTCTCTCCAGCGACTACGTAAGGAATTGGAAAACACTAGATGGTTCACAAAAACCAGTGAAGAGCCATATATTATGTGTTGGCAGCAATTCCCGAGATTGAGGATTTAAAGCCAGAACAAAGAGAATGTTTGGTGAATTTTATCAAGGGGAAAGACGTTATTGTCCTTTTTCCTGTGGGATTTGGGAAAAGATTATTTTAATAGTGAGCCCCGTTAGCGGCGCATTACATACATCACGACCAAATAGCAGCGACTAGTTAAATAAAAAAGTACCAGTCTATTCTAATGCTGATAATTCTAATGCTGAGAGGTCAGACGGTTTCTACAAAGTGAAACCGGCTGATGAATCAGGCTAAACTACAGTTTCGTGACATCACAAGTGGAACGGAGCATTTTGACCTTCGGAGATTTAGACAGAATAATAATAAAGGGTCCCTCAAACATGCGATAAAACAAAACACAACTCCAGGTGTGATGAAGTGACAGCATTATAACATGTCTAAAAGCTCACAAGAGTCAATTTTGTGTAATGCAGGACCTTCAAACAACTGTCAAACATGAATCCTTTTACTACCAGAAAACTGACAATTTCCTGTGTTTTCCCATTGTTTTCAGTCAGCACCATTCCAGACTGATAATGTGTAGAGCTCAAATGAAGAGGGCTACACAGAACAATCTGCCATCTGCCAAGTCCCAAAAAGCAACGCTATAAAAAGTATTACACATTTACAGCAGCATTTGTATGAGCGTGGAATAAATCTACAGTGTTATCGTGTTTATGTGTGTATATGAGGCCATTTGAAAACCAAGTATGTGTTTCTAGTGTGAGCGCCTCAGGGGTAAACTAGCACAGGAGCCTAGTGGTGACAAAATCAGGTCCTCATCAAGGGTCTATTGGAAACGTAGAGAGCAAAACAGAGAGATGATCCAAGGCACTCTGATTTTAAAAGGCCCACATTATCCTATTTTCTTATCTATGTTATAATATTGTTTCTTCACCAAAACAGAGTTGTGTTTTGTATCATTCATACATGTTTAAAACATAAATGTCAAGTGCTCTATTGTGTTTTTAAACTCCATACACCCTGGAACCCCGATCTACTGAACTAAAAGGGAAAAGGTAGCTGCTAACTAAAAATTTACCACTACATGACATCACAAGGTGGAACAGAGCATTTTGAGTTTTGAAGATGTAGATAGACTAATAATAAAGGATTACTCAAACATAGTGTCATAGTACTCAAGCTTCTCGAGAGCAGATTCGAGACCCTTTTTTTACGGTCTTGATCTCATCTTGGACTCGACCTCGTTTGGACTCGGTCTTGTCTCGGTCTTGAAAGCGCTTGGACTCGGTCTTGACTTGGACTTGAGGTTTGAAAAATCAACAAGTGCGATCACATTTCATTATGCCCTCTGCTGTCGGCAATTAAGAAAACAGATTTACAAATCCTACCCACTTTCTTCACAGTTTTCTGTAAAGTGCCAGTGGAAGTTCGCTTTAAGAAGGGGTTCTCAAACTATGGATGAGGGTCTAAAAAAAGGGGCACAAAGTGTTTCAGTGCAGTACAGTTTGCTTGACTTATTTTAAGCCTAAATGAACATTAATCAGATAAAATGCTGATAGGTTTATAAAAAAACATTGATATATATGTGCCAAAATAACTGTAAAATACAAATAAATGTTGAAAATGACAAAGATGGTCTCGATTAGGTCTCGATGGGCCATGGTCTTGATCTTATCTTTATCTCAGCCTTTAAAAGTGTCGTCTGTCTCGACCCTCAGAGGTCTTGGTCTTGTCCCAGTCTCGGGACCGTGTGGTCTCGAACTGGTCTACTCTAACATGTGTGAATGAAACAAAACACAACTCCAGGTATGTTTTTGAGGAGGAAACAACATTATAACATCGCTAAAAGAGCACAAGAATCAATTTAGAGTAATACAGGACCTTTAAGTAAAAATCCTTTTCAGTAAGGGACATATCAAAGAAGTACTGTTTAAACTAGAAAGAAAATCTCCAATGCGTTTTATGGAGACACAGACAAGAGTGAAAAAGTAATCTACGGATTGGAGCTTTTTACTTGTACTTTTTACTTTTTACTTTTACTTACCATATACTCTTAAAGTAGGCTGATGCTCTACACTTTTTCTGTGCAAATCCTTTTTAAGATAAAATAGGCTGTTTTATCTTTGCATGTTTTGGCGAGCAACTGTTGCCTCATTAATAAAATAATTGTGATTTTAATTAAGACCCCTATAATAATACCAGTATAATCAAGCAGATCTAGTGTTTTATATTTACTTTTTGTAAAGTTTAGCGGGGTTGTTAAAATGGCAGAAAAAGCTCACACTTATATAAGACAAGCTGCAGTATTTTGAGATAAAACCGTATTTGGGAACAAGAGCCTTTACCTGAATTAAACTTGTGCAAAACCAAAGACAAACAGGACCACTGGCATTTACTTTACTCTGCAAAACCACCCACACACATCGCACCACAGAGAGGAAAGGGGTGCAACCGTGAGATAAGGAACACAGCAACTTTCTATCTAAATTTAGTAATGGTCTGTTGTGGATGTATTTTGAAGTAATACTTTTATAATACGCCCAACATGTGTGATAATGATTAATGATTAGGGTCATTTAAAAACCTCCAGTGATATAATGTTATGGGCAATTGCATGCTAGCTTGTTCTACTCCTGCTGTAGCTATCTCTTATCTACCACATGAACATAAACACAAGCACACGCAGAGGTTTTCCATTCCCCCACACATGACTGCAATAACAAAACCAGCACAGAGCAAAAAGCTAAAAGGTACATGAAGATTGGCACTAATAATGAACAGAAACTCTTTGGAGAATTCACCACCTTAGCAAATTCTGAGAGAAACCCCCCACAGCATTTTTAGATGTGTCAGTCAAGTCTCAGGATGTGGAAAATAAATGATAATCTACACTTTCATAGTTATAATATTGTGGCTGTAGTTACGCAATGTGTTTTTGTGAGCTATTTTGTGTTTTTCCGCATAAGACTTCACGCTAAGATTATTTAAAGAAGTAATTTTTCTGGCAAAAGGTCTGCTACCTGAGCTTATTTTCCTGTGTTGTGTTTCACAGGATGGTATTAAATGTATTTCTAGTACATTTTTATACATACTAATTTTCAGTTAGATCGCATAAAAACAAGTATGCAAAGATATAACCAATGTTTAACCAGTCATATAAATATTAGGGTGTAACGATATCCAAGTCTCACGATACGATATCGTCACGGTATGAACCTCATAGTACGATATTTACTGCGATATCGTGGGAAAGCTCATGATATGGTGGAGAGACTCAAAATTAGGGATGTAACAATATCCCAATCTCTCGGTACGATATTTTCATGATATACATCTCACGGTATATTTATTGTGATATTTTATGGAGGCTAACAAAACTGTTAATATGCTACTTTTTCCTCTTAAAATGCCTTGACAAGACTTAATCCAAAGAACTAAGACTTAAAAGTGCTTAGAACTGTTATTTCTTCATGTAGGAGCAAAGGATCATGGTCTATGTAGTTCCCTCTGTCTTTTTATAGCTATTGCTGCACCATAACTCTTAATTTAAGCAAAGATACTTGGAATTCGATGTTTATTGTGATGGTCCATGAAATTATTGTGAGAACTTTGATGATACAATATCAGGATATTTTGGTTATTGTTATATTCCTAATAAATATCTATCAAAATATCAAAAAAATAATAAAGTTGATCATATGATTTACAAAAAATTACCTCAAAAAGAGACAGAAAATAATGTATAAAGTGAGATTCACCATTCACGCTTGATTTTACGATTTGTCCAAGTTCGGTGCTATACTTGAACCTCAACCAAGGCACATTTTAGCATTTGTTAAAATATCATCTGACTGTCATAATTGAGATAATGCAAAAAGAATCAAGATATAGATACTTGTCAATATCACCAAACCCTATACCAGATAACATTTCTTTAAAGGTCCCATAATACACTATTTTCTGATCTATTTAATAATGTTGTTACCTCATCACAAATATACCTGGATTTATGTTGTTGAGTTGAGCTCATTTCTCAAACTGAAGACACTTGTGATGCCATGTGGTAATATAGGAAGTGCTCCACTGTGTTTTTAAACTCCATACACCTTCACTAAAGAATTTTGAGCTTTGGAGATGTAGACTGACGAATAATAAAGGATTACTCAAACATGTATGAATGAAACAAAACACAACTCCAGTTAGGTTTTTGAGGAGGTAAAAGCATTATGACAAAGCTCACAAGAGTAAATTTAGCATAATACAGGACCATTTAAAACTAAGTTTACAAAAGTGCCACTTACTCTACAAACAGACATCTGGTTGGTGGTGAGGGTGCCCGTCTTGTCTGAGCAGATCACAGAGGTGCAGCCCAGGGTCTCTACAGATGGTAGAGAGCGTACAATGGCGTTCTTCTTGGCCATGCGGCGAGTTCCCAAAGCCAGGCATGTGGTGATGACCGCAGGGAGGCCTTCTGGGATAGCGGCCACAGCCAATGCCACGGCAATCTTAAAGTAGTATATAGCCCCTCTGACCCAGGACCCCCCATGGACAGGGTCTCCAAAATGGCCGATGTTAATGACCCAGACAGCCACACAGATCAGAGAGATGACCTTGGACAGCTGCTGCCCGAACTCGTCCAGTTTCTGCTGCAGAGGCGTCTTCTCCTGCTCCGTAGATGCCATCTGATTACGGATTTTACCGATCTCCGTGGAGACGCCCGTGGCAACGACTACACCTATGGCGCGACCAGCAGCGATGTTAGTGCCCTGAGGGAAGAAAGAAGAAGAAAAAAAAAGTTAATTTAAAGAAGTGTATACGGAGTGGGCTCTTACTAGTTTAAAATCACAAATCACAACATAACCTGGGTTTCTAATGCCTAAACCTGCATATAAGGACAGATACAAGTTTCATCTTTTCAGAATATAGACAGGCCATGTCTCAGATGAAAGCTCAGCATCTCCAGAATTTCTTCACTGAGCTGCAGAAGTTGCACTAGCACTGATTCATGATTTTCTGCAGATGCTGGTGTTAAGGTAGTAAGAATTCAGATCAGAGAGTGTTCTTTTAGGGTTTAACCTAATGGATTGGATAACCATCTTGAGAAAAAAAAATTATAACATAAAAAACTTCTTAATCATGCCCATTGTTTTAGTTAAATCAGCATTACAATTGTTACCTCTTATCTGGGGTAGTTAGGTCATGTTTATGTGAATTAAAATAAAAATCTTGCCTATAGTTAATTTAAGATGTATTTTAAATCACTATAAGCATACCAAACATTTTCTGATGTAATTCTAATTTGAATAAGTATTGTGCAAATGAACTGATAGACATTTATAGTTTGTTGAATCAAGTCTAATCTGATCCCACTGCATCTGCATATAAACTTTAGGGAGTGGATCTAGTTGGGGCAGATTAACAACCAGGGCACCGCGTACCTCCATAAATAGAACAAACTATGTCAGAACACGTGCAGCTTGAAGAGCCAAAAGGGACGGATTTTGAAATAAGACATTTCAGTGAGAATGGATGGGCTGTGATCAGTTTGCATGTAAACTGGTACTTGAAGATCCTATATTACACAAAATGGATTCTTGTGAGCTTTAAGCCATTTCATAATGTTGTTACCGCACCAAAAACATACCTAGAGTTGTGTTTGTTTCATTCACAGTACACCCTATATATATGTATAAAAACACAGTGGAGCACTTCCTATACTAGCACATGGCATCACAATGTGGAACAGAGTGTTTTCTGTTGGGGGAGAAGAACTAAGAACTAAGCCTAAATATGCAGAAAGTGTGTGTGAATGAAAGAAAACCACAATTCTAGGTATGGTTGTGATGAGGAAACAGCATAATAACAGATCAGAAAACAGAGTAATATTTTTAAGTTGAGCTAGAATCCTGTCATGTCACCTCATTGTTTTGAACACTCTTTATTTGATCAGCCATAGAAACAGGACACAGTGGAGAATGCTTACTGAAAACAGCATGTTCTTCTTATCCTGGTTGACAGCTCTGGGGTCGGGGACAGGGTCTGTGTGTTTGATGACTGACACAGACTCTCCTACAGAACAAAACCAAATATTGTGACATGCCGCAGTGACATCTTATGTCAAATATTATTCAGAACAGACTTTTATGAGCTTTTAACAATGTTTTACTATGCAGCTTTTACAATTCTGATACTGGTTTCAATTCTATAGCCTTAAGTATCTGTCAATATTCAATCAACCGATACCAGTGCAGAGACTGAAAAAAGCATTTATATTCCTTTAAACAAAAACAAAAGAAAAAACTGATTGAAGATAAACTGATGCTAATGTTTTATGTAGCTGTTATTTATCTCTCAAGTGTCTACAGAGCAGACTTCATGAGACTTTTTGGGTCAGCTACAGACAGTAAATAGTCTTATTACATACATTTATATGTCGAAACACGATATTGGCTGAACCAATATTTGAAGCCAGTGTCCAATCCAGCGAAGTTTTTGAGGTCAGCACTGATATCAATTACGAGAATCGGATCTCTAGTTGTAACAGTTTTCTCGTAGAGTCCAAACATGTTTGAGTAATCCTGTATGGTACTGAATTCAAGGCTGCGGTGCTCAGAAATGTTCTGTTTCCCCCTAACCCCTATGTATGCCCCATTGATGTTTTTAGTTGGAATTATAAAAAAAAAAAATCAGGAACAGGGTCATACATTTAGTTAGTGAATCTGCTGCAGTGAAAAGCCACAATACAGAGGCAGGGCTTATCAATCCTCTGTTTCTACTATTTTAGCCATTGTGATATACAATAAACTAAATGTAAAATCACAAATCACTGAGTATGTTAAAGTTTAATTTATACTATACTCCAAAAAGCATAGTTTATCTCCTTTAAGATTATAACATCAACAAAATCAAGTACTTGTAATTAAAGTTATACCTGTGAGAATGGACTGGTCTACTCGTAGTGTTGTGGACTTTATAGATGTCACCCTGATGTCTGCGGGCACCTTGTCTCCAACTAAAGACAAAAACACATTAGCTTAGGTCAGTTTATTTGACATTTGTAGTTGAAAACCACATGGGAAAAACATGTGCAAAAAGCTCAAAGTGGACCATAAAATATTAAAAACCACATGTACAAACAATAGACAATCTGATGAAGTTAGTAATGTACTGGACTGGATATGGCCTGAGGATAAATGTATTGGAAAATTAATAATTAATTTTATTCTAATGGACTTTTACATGTTGTCAATGAAGGTTAGGAAAGATTTTACTATTATAGTTATCCATTTTATACTAATGAACTTACATAAGGCTGAAATGTGAATATTTATGTGTAATTATTTTATTGGATCCCAGGAAGAAAAACATCAGCTCAGATTGATCAATAAACAATAAACAATCATTAGCCATGTTAAAGTAATTTACAGAAAATAAAGGGAAAAGACAGAACAAAAGCTTAAAGTGAATCTGCACTATTTAGTCCAGTCAGATATCCGTGTTCACACAATAAATCCTTGAGTAAAGAGACAGTGGCTCATTCAGCTTGGGCTCTGGCTGCAGGTAAACAGCAGGCTCAGTACAACCTTGATGGAGTCACGTTTCTCTTTTAAAATGATTGATTATTTGAGCCTGGCCACTGTTTTCTCTTCAGTCTTTGTGAGGAGTGACGGACCATTTCCTCACTCTTGTCAAACACATGCAGAAAATGGATACAACTGCTTCTTTCATAACTCTCCTTAATAAGCAAGCCAGCATATTAAAGTCATCAATTACAAGTAGCTCATGTCTCAAAGCAAAACACTTATTGCGTCTTCCCTACAAGGTCTACTCAACAAATCCCAAATGGTTCCAAAATAATAAAATTTGTTATATAATTTGAAAGACCAGATCAGAACGAGAAACATAAAAAAAATACAGTACATCATCATCATTATCATTAAAAACTCCAAATGGTAAAGTTTGCAGACTCTGATTTTTACATATGATAACCAAGGACAATAGTACTTGAAAGTAGCTGTAATGTTTTTTAGCTTCAACAAATTGTATTCTACACACCCAAATTGTTATTACATCAACATTTTCACAATATAATACCATAAGTACACCTATGATGTGCAGATTAGGGTTGTCAAAAGTATAGAAAAGCAGATCCTAATCAGTACTAAAACTAGAACTGAAACTAGATAGTCATTTGAACTTGAAGTAGCAATAAATATGACAGAAATTAACTTTCCTGAACAGTTTTAAAATGATCTTGAGCTGAATCAGAACAAGTATAAGAGCACCTGACCACTATGGAGCCTACCTGCACAAATGAGGGAGTACACAGGAACATAGAAAGTAATATTATTGAAAAGTACCTTGAAAGTTTTGAGCATCAAGTCTATTCTTCAGAACTGAAATCGAGTTTGAACACTTCAGTATCATGACAACACTAGCACAGATATATAAGAAATGTATAATAAAATTGCTGCTTCCTTGTATAATGGACACTTTATGTAACCGTATTCATAACAATGGAAAATCTTCAGTGGAAATACTAGTTACTTTATTGGATGACTGGCATAAAGAAACACAGCGGTTAGCCACAGTAATAATCGTCTCATTAAAGCCAACTCAGAGTCCTGGGCTGTCAACACCTTCACTGCTAACTGCAACAAAAACAAGCATTTACTACACTTTTTCAACACCAGTACAGGACATCTTGAAGTTCTCTATATTTTCTCACTCAACTTTTGTATACAGAACTTTTTTTGACCTGTAAAAACTTTTCACCAGGGTCCCACACTGATAACTTTGAGTGCCCTCTTCGTCATCTCCTCTGGCTCAGTGGTTTGGAAAAATGTTAAAGATTTTGTTCAGACAGACAAAAAACTGAATATAGTGGAAGGGCAAAAGGGTAATCCAGGCATCCATAACGAGTAATACTACTTGACTGTACTCCTGTAAAATAAATGGTCCTATAGTATGCAAAACTGACTCCTATGAGCAGTGGCAGAGTTAGTAATTTGGGGGCCTGAGGTGAACTTGAGTTTGGGGCACAGTTTTGTTTTTTTTGTTTTTTTTTAAAATATTAATATTGTCTGGTTTTCCCCATTCCCCATTTATTTTTATGCTAGTACAATAAAATGTTTGTGTACATCCATTACATATGATCATTATTATTTTTCTTATGATTATTGTTTAAAAGTTCTGCTCTCGTTTAATGTCATATTGAGAGAAATCTCATTACTCTGAGGTCTTGACCATTCGTGGCACTGAGGGCAATTGGTTGGGGGAGCCTCCAGGATTGGGGGCCCTAGGCAGCCGCCTACTTTTACCTAATAGTAGCGCCGCCTCTGCCTATGAGCTTTAAGCCATGTTATAATGTTGTTAGTTATCTCATCAAAAACAGACCTGGAATTGTGTTTTGTCTCATTCACACATTTGAGTAACACAGCATTATTCTGTCTATATCTCCAAAGTTCAAAATGCCCAAAATGCCCACCTTGTGATGTCACGAAGCAGTAGTTTTCAAGTTAAGCAGCTATCTTTTACCCATTGTTTAGCAGAGATTGGAAATTATAGAGCTGAAGGTGTATGGAATTTAAAAACACAGTGGAGCACTTCCTGTATTACCACATGATATCAGAAGGTGGAACAGAGCATTTTCTCTTTGAAGAACTCAGTCTAAATATACAGATTTTGTGTGTTAAACGTGTGTGAATGAAACAAAAAACAACTCCTGGTATGTCTGTAATGAGGAAACATTACAGCATAGATCAGATAGTGTAATATGGGCCCTTTAACAACATATTAGTCTTCATATATTTGGTAAGTATGAATAAACACTTCAAAGTATGTTTAATTATTTGTGTCTTTCAGATTTTAGAATGATTACGTCTATGTCTATTTTTCTATAGATTACATTGTACTTTGTCATGAAATATAAAAGGGTATTTTCACATTTTAAAACATTTTAAACCTGATCATTTCTATTACTGACTACACCCAAGAACTCACTGTATTACACTGTATTGCATTTTAGCTACCCCTCATCTGTATTAAATATTATTGCCCTATAAATTATTGTGTTCAAGTCATCTGAAACCCAGTAATAGTATGTGCAGTTTAAATATGTTTAAATAAAGTTTGCCAATATAAAAAGGCGAACGTATAAATCCAAATCTTCCTTTTAACACCACTAAAGAAAAGGTATCTGGTTTCTTTCATCTCTGGCGAGGCACCAGGTGTGGAGGAGCAGCAGTGTTTTTTTAGGAGATGGCTTAGGGCTAAAGGATGGACCAAGGCCACAGAAGGCATTTTCAAACACCTACCACCACAGAGATGCTATACCCTCCCACTGAAGCTCACTTTCTGCTTAAAGGAATGTGTTTATGAGATAGTGAGTGAACATTACCATTTAGATTAGAAAAAAAGGAAGTAAAACCAAAATGGCTATTATTGCACATGTCTTGAGTGTGAAAAATAGTGATACTATCTTATCAACACAAAAGAAAACAACCACACTTTTTAAAAGGCACACTATGTAACTCTTCTGGTGGAGGATCAGCAAAAGGACCTGTTAAGTAGCCAGTTAAAGGTTCTATATTACGCAAAATTTACTCTTGTGAGATTTAATTAATGTTAGAATGTTACCTCATCACTAACATACCTGGAGTTGTGTTTTGATTCATTTACACATGTTTGCGTAATCATGTATTATTAGTCTGTCTGTCATCTCCAAACCTCAAAATGCTCTCTTCCACCTTGTCATGAAATGGTCATGAAGATGTATGGAGTTTAAAAACACAGTGGCGTACTTCCTGTTTAACCACAAGACATCACAACGTGTAACAGAGTTTTCTGTTTGAGAGAGAAGCCTAAATATTAGGGGTGTAACGATCTCCAAGTCTCACGTTACAATATCGTCACGGTATGAACCCCACGATACGATATTTATTGCGATATTTTATTTGTGGAGGCTAACAAAACTGTGAATATGTAATATTTTTCTTCTTAAAATGCCTGGAGAAGACCCAAAGACCTAAGACTTAAAAGTGCTCAAGAATTGTTATTTTTATTATCTATTATAGTCTACACTGAAATGGAGCAATGGATCATGGTCTATGTCAGAGATCTCAAACTCATTTTGGTCCGGGGGCTGTATCCAAACTACTTTGAGCCCCAAGGGGCTGGATCAGAAAACTCATGGCATATATATACCCCGAAAATAGCAATAAGTTCAAATATTTGTGCAGAGAAACTCAAATCTATTACAAAAATCTTTTTTAATTGATGAACTCTTTCTTTTACAAAATATTATAATATTATGAACAACCTGAAACTTTAAGAAAAATGCAATTTCAACACAATGTTTTAACATTAACTTGTATGCAAATAGATATAATTAATTTTTTCTTGAAAAATTCTGCACTCAGCGTCCACTTTTCTCATTTTTGACATTTTGCTGATGAGGGTGTCATGGTCAACAGTCAAAGGAGACGCTCCTATGCTAAGTGACGCAGAAAATTACCAATATTTTAATAGAAATATAATTCAAATATTTTAGTAGAAAATCAGCCGAGGGCCAGATTAAAAGTCTTGGAGGGCCGGATCTGGCCCCCGGGCCTTATGTTTGACACCCCTGGTCTATGTAGTTCTCTCTGTCTTTGTTTAGCTAATGCTGTCCCATAACTCTTAATTTAAGCAAAGAGACTTGTAATTCAATATATTGTGATGGTCCACGATATTATTATGAGAACTTTGATGCTACAAAATCAAGATATTTCAGTTATTGTTACGTCCCTACTAAATATGCAGGGTTTGTGTGTTAAACATGTGTGAATGAAACATAACACACAGGTACAGTATGTTTGTGATGAGGAAACAGCATGAGAATAAAGAGCAGAAAATAGTGTAATATGGGCTCTTTAAGTTACAGCTCAGATCTGCAGAGAGGCGACCCTGCTCACTTTAAGAATGCTTATTTTTCAAGATGTCTTTACGCAATAAACACCTAATTGAATACATGCAAGATAAGTATTATGCCACACTGAAACCTCTCATGTGGCGTATCCTCTATTAGAAGGGTTACATAGTACACCTTCAATAAACGTTAGACATGATTCAAAAGCTTGCATAATACACTATGCACAGACAATGGGATTGTAGAGGCTGTGCAAGTGAAAACATGACTATTGCAGTAGTCACCTCCTTTAAAGGAAAGTTCCAGTGTAGGCGCGAAACTCATCTATTTCATAACCAAAACTGGCACTGGCTACTTTTTGTACCTACACGAATCCCTGGAAACTTCAGCATATACATTCATGTTCTTTTTCTCGCCCAAAAAGGTACTTGCGGTTAACAGTGTCCTTTTCCAATACCATGTTTGAGTTTATTTTACCCCCCTCAAAGTGGTTTCCCATGGAACGACCAAGAGGCTAATCTACAGCATAGGAAATCAGAAGAGGGAAAGAAAATATTTATAGAATCAAATTTGTTTTCATTGCAACTGGATCCAAGTTGTGGCAGCGTGTGGCTTTGCTAACCCTGACACATTTATATTATAAGGGAGATGAACCCAACCTACACATAGCTATTTATCACTGTTTAAAAACTGCTTAGCAACAGGATGGTGACAGACTGCCAAAGGAAGAAAATGAGTTTGCTTTTGCATAACAGTGTAGTGACATAACTTTGTAAAATATTCTTTTGATTAGATTTAACGAAGGAAAAAAAGAAAACCTTCACAGCCATGTACAATACCATTTATAAGGAGAGTTTTATCCAGTATCCTTGGTCAGGTGTAAAAATATACTTCTAAACAAAAGCAGAAAGATAAAAGAATTTAAATAAAGAATTTGAAAAAAATATACACACACAACTTTGATCTGAAAGAAAGTTGAGTTCTGACGAAATTATAATGAACTGTTGAAATAGTAATTAGCAAATTAAAACAACATATATCTTTTGAATGGTGCTCAAAATGTCGCCTATAACATTAATAGAAAACTCAGTTAAAAACCAAGATTCTGCTTGTCTGCCCTAACAGAAAACATGACAACTATGGGCAGATATTGAATTATTGAAAATATCCTGAAAGTTCTTTTGAAAATATGCAAAATTTGAATAACGAGTATGTTGTCTATATTGAAAAACATTTAACAAAGAGCTGACTACAAATGAAAATATAAAAACACATTAAAATAAGGGAATGATATAATAATAATATTTCGACATATTAGAAGTTTTAACACATTTCTGTTGATTGACATAATTAACAGAACATAATTATCAGGATACAAAGGTGGACTATGTAAATTTTTGATTGGGGGTTTCTATGGAGATGTCATTTCTCTGCCAAGAATGTTCCACAGTATGACGCTGAACAGCTCTACTTCACATTTATTCAATTACAGGTAGTTTTATAGCTCAAAAATACCTAGAAAAACAAGCATTCTAACTGTGAGCGGGGTCGCCTCTCCACAGATCTGACCTGAAACTTGGTCTGGTTTGGTCTCCATGATGATAAAAAGGTTTAATACCATACTGCGAAGCATTTCAGACAAAGCAATAATATCTTCATGGAGAAAAGAAAGTTGTTGATTCCCTTTCGTTGGATAGAACAGTGAAGTTATTTTGCACAATTGGCCCCTGCTCCCTGCTCCTACTCAATTAGCCCCTGCTCCCAGAGTCCCTGCTCAACATTTCCAAATAGCACATTTTATATCATAGTTTTGAACGTAACAATGAAAGAAATCAGAGACCATTGAGCCCCAGTCGTATCAAAACTAGTGTCTCCATTGACAAGCAGCAGATGGTTCATTTTACTGCTCCCTACGCTGGCATCAGAGGTGTCATTAAACGCAGAGCCCTCGTGAACTACACAGTCACACATGAGCCAAAGTCAGAGCACACGGTTGTCATGGCGACGGCGGTGGTGGTGTTGACAGTGATAGTGCTGGTGCATGATGGGAAAGAGGGATGGAGGTGTGGGCTGAGGACCCTGCACCTTATAAGTGTATGTATGTGGTTGTGATTAGAGTATCATCTCAAAGTAGTACAGGTGTCACATAGTAACAGTAGTAGTAGTAGTAATAGTAGTAGCAGTAGCAGTATACATAGATATGCTAGCGATGTTTAAATCAGGACTAAGCCAGGACTAAGCCAGGACTAAACCAGGACTAAACCAGGACTAAATCAGAACTAAACCAGGACTAAACCAGAACTAAACCAGAACCAGAACCAAACAAGTATTGAACCAGAGCTAAAACAGGACTGAACCAGGACAGAACCAGGACTAAACCAGGACTAAACCAGATCTAGACCAGGACAATCACAACAAAACCAGGACTAAACCAGGACTAAACAAGGACTGAACCAGGACTAAACCAGGACTAAACCAGGACTAAACCAGGACTAAATCAGAACTAGACCAGGACAATCACAACAAAACCAGGACTAACCCAGGACTGAATCAGAACTGAATCAGAACTGAATCAGAACTGAATCAGAACTGAATCAGAACTAGACCAGGACAATCACAACTAAACTAGGACTAGACTAGTACTAGTCCAGAAACAAACCAAGAAAAAAAAAAAAGACTAAACCAAGACTAAACCAGGACTGAACCACAACTGAACCACAACTGAACCACAGCTGAACCAAAACTAAATTTGGGACTAAACTAGGACGGAACTAGGGCTAAACATGAGCTGAAGACAAGACCAGTTGATGGTGGAGCAATCTTCTGTGCGTCCTATGTGTCCAGTCATGCATTAACTGCACACACAGATGTTGGGAACTGGAATGACAACAGGAGCTATATTTAGTGCAGGCTGCCCACACGCGGGTGAATACAGCAGGGGAATTATATGTGTGTGTGCATATGTGCATGTGTGTGTGTGTGTGTGCATGTGTGCGCGTGTGTGTGGAGCTGACAAAAATCCAGGAGTGTCCAGGTGGCGAGACTGAGAGCATGGAAAGCACTGGGAAAAAGGAAAATTAAACTGGACCTAAAATACAGGGACCACAGGCACTTACACAGGCACAAATCAGACCCAAGCGGACAGCAGTTTTGGCACATACGTTTGTCCACGCAATTGCTTCTTATGTAATGTAGAGTATTGACAGTAAAAAAATAGGCATATTCAAGGACATGCTTCAGTGTACAAAAGAAACTGAGAAGAACTGACCTCCAATGGCCCTGCCTCGCAATGTTTAGGTTGCCACAGAAGATTTAAGTACAGGGTTATGTATCTCTATTGTGACACAAAAACATCTGAAAAGGAATCCCTAGAGTGGTTCATTAAAAAAAAAAAACACACAATACAGTAATTTGACTTATTTTCTTAGGGCCACTACAACTTTTCATATCCATAAAAATGCACATATTATGTTTTGTTAAAGGAATCTTCCTATCCAAAATCTTTCAACCATGTAATAATGCTTTAACCACATTATTAACACTTATTATACTGAGTAAAATGTAAAATAATGAGCTACATGTGTCATTGAATTTGCTTAAATACCAGGAAAAGCATAATATGTCTTCTTTAAAAGGTGTAATATAACCTTTCCGGTGGAGGATCACAAAATGTTATTGCTTTTCCGGGAATATTTTCACAGGGGATTTGATTTAGACTAACAATACCAGAGAGACCATAGAGACCAGGATGTGACGTCACCAAGTCAAGTTACTGGTCAGATGTGGAGAGGTGATTATCTGCTGTTTTAAAGGTATTTTAGAGCAATAAAAACACATGTAATTGAATAATACCAAGATGAATTGAGTGTCATACTGTGGAACATTACAGGCAAGGCAAAAAACATCTCCCTTGAGTCAGACCTCCCACTAGAGATGTTACATAGTGCACCTTTAAATAATTCAATAAGCACCAATTGCCCAGGACTGTTTTACACATATCCGTGCAGCTTCATGAATGCCTGAATATGCGCGCGTGTGGACACATGTTGAGGTGACAACAGTGGGACCTCATCTGGAACAGGTCCCTGAATAAATGAGTGCTTTTGAGTGACAGGGACCGCTCACCTGCTACCTCCACGATGTCTCCCGGGACGATGTCTTTGGCTTTGATCCTCTGGACAGCTTTGCGGTTCATGCGGTACACTTTTCCCATCTCTGGTTCATACTCCTTAAGAGCCTCGATGGCATTTTCGGCGTTCCGCTCCTGTGCCAAGAAAGTGCAGCAGAAAAGTTCAAGACAGGGGCGAGGACAGTCTACGCAGGTTTGACAATAAGCTGCTATGTGAAAGCTAATCACAAAATGTACAAGGTCACAACAACAGAATGAGGTAAGGTGGAGTGTATAAAGTCATGTTTTGTGCATTTTAGTCACCGCTAACAGACCATCACATGCAATAACACCCCAGGTTAATAAGACACCGTGTTATAGAAACATTTTTTTTTTTAAAAATATTACAATTTACACTTTTTTTTAAATCATTTGTAGCCTTATTTTTTCTTAGACGACCTTTTTAAAAGCTCAACAATTTAGTTTAAGATAGACAGGTTAGGGTGAGATTAGGGGTGTTAATGGGTGACTGTCTTAAAGGGGCAATATGTACGTTTTTAGCAGGAGGGTTCAAAATCTTTCTATTCTCCATGGAGATTGTTTTGCTAGGAATGTCTCACAAAATGACATAAAACTTGGCAGTCTCCATGGAGACAAGCATGTGACCCACCAAAACCTCCAACAGAAAAGATTAAAGGTGCTCTATACAAGTTATGTACATGGGTGTGCTTCTTAAAACAGGAAGGTCTTTGCTGGCAAGTTAATGCCATTTAGACTTAAGTATATTTTTAAGTGATCATATTTAAGTCATTGAAGATATTGGGTTAATTTTTACAATATTTGCACTACACACTTCAGAACAGCTATTCTGCATCATAACGTAGTCTATATTGTGAATTACACACATACACATAGCTTACCAATAAGGCATATCAGCAAACAGTTTTTCTTGTTAGGCTATAACTCTGACACATATAAATCCACAATAAGCCACAAAATCTGCTTCTAGCCTCATTACTATAGCATTCATGTTCATGCTTATGTGCATGATTCACATTTTGACTGTCTTGTTTTATGTGTCACAAGACAGACACATACAAATATTACACTTCATACTTGAGCTAATGTAAATTCACTTGAAGTCACTTGACGTTTTTGGTTATTAAGCAGTTTAACAGCTGGTGAGCAGGAGAAGTGAGTTCAACTTGTTACTCTTGTTAAACATTGTTCACATTTATTTCACAAGGACTAACTGTTGTGTAACAGTCTTTAGTGTGTGTATAGTATGTACTTAACACGTCACAACAACAGGAGCAGTGGATCTCACCTGCCAGACCCCGATAACAGCATTGGCGATGAGGATAAGGAGAATTACAATGGGCTCAACAAAGGCGGTGGTTGTCTCCTCGCCTTCTTCAAACAGAGCCAACACCTGCATGAGAAAACACATGGACTTAGCAAACACATTAAAACTGACACTCAAATGTGCAAAAGTGTGACGCTGCAATAGGGCTGCAAAAAAGCATAACAGTTATATTGGCTGTGGGAGATGTCTCAGTCCATAGAATGTAATAACATCAGTCAATTACCTGGATAACACTTCAGAATATCTACACCTCAATTAGCTTTGACAAGGCGTGAAAAAGAATTAATTCATAATGAACAAATGGTTTATTAAGAATGATTCAGGCTTGGTAAGTACTTAATACCCTAAACCCTAACTCCCCTAACTCTTTAAAGGGCCTATATTACGCAATTCGATCTATGTTAGTGTTGCTTCCTTGTCAGAAACATACCTGGAGTTGTGTTTTGTCTCTTTGACAAATCTTTAACACATAAACCCTGCATATTTAGGCAAACAGAAAACACCCTAGTCCACCTCGTGACGTCATGTTGTAAAACAAGAAGGGCTCCACTGTGTTTTTACACTCCATACACCTTCAATAAAATCATTTGGATAATTTCAGACCTGGAATTACAAATCTCTACTGAACTAAAGGTAAATGGTAACTGTCAACTTGAAAACCACCGCTTCATTACATCACAAGGTGCAACAGAGCATTTTGAGCTTTGGAGATCTACACAGACTAATACTAAAGGATTACTCAGACATTTGTAAATAAAAAAAAACCAATAAAAACAAAAACAAAACACAACTACAGGAATGTTTTTGATGAGGTAACAACAATACAACATGGTTTAATGCTTCAAAAAGTAATTTTGTGTAATATAGGATCTTTAAGTAGTTACTAAGCCTGAATAATTCTTAATTAACTATTTGTTCATTGTGAATTAAGTCCTTTTTTATGCTTAGTGTAGATAGTGTAATTATTATGCATTATTGAACTATGGGTTTCAAACAGAGATCTCTCTTCACTATCACTATGATGACTAAACACATGATGTAAAGTTAGTAATATTTTGGAAACCAGATTAATGTAACACTGGTATGTTCCCTGGAGCAACACAACAGAAGATGGCTTTCTCACAGGGAATATAATGATAAGGAAAATGCATGTGTAGAAGCAGTTCTCATTTTCAATAGACCATCAATGGGCTATTTATAAACAGGACTGAATACACATTGCATTAGTTAAACACTGGACAGGTTGATGCAAGGAAATCAGTCAAAACCAGCAATGACTCCAGAAAGGCTAGACATGCGCTTATTGATAGTTTGCAGTGACATCATGCTGGGGGTGCTCTAGACAGTCCACCATTAGAGATACGTGTAGCAGTTACCATGGTGACATAAAGCACATATTAGCAAATACTGACAAAATAGAAAAAAAACAAACTAAATAAATTTAAAGAGCATTCGTGGTCCTATTGGCGAATGCTAGTGAGCTTGTGACTGTAATTTTATGTGTGAGAGTCTTGTTAAACAGCACAAATCATCTCTCCTGTGGTAGTTCCAGCTAAATCAGCTCTTTCTGGTCAGACTGTGTTTAAATAAAGCTGGCAAAAGATCAAAACTTTTCAGTATCTCTATGATCTGCCCATATATCTGACCCAAACTGCACTCACAAGACTAGTCACGATAATGACTATATCCATTTATGGTTCAGTATATGAATAATGGAAAGATTTTTGTAATAAATAATAAGACTTGAGATTTGAGCTGTACAGAGTATAATAAATAACTATGACTTTTTGTCTATTTAAAAATGGATTATCCTGCTTTGTGTAGTTCACTCGCTTATCTCAATATATCTCTGTAGTAATATATTGTGCTTCAAAATGTGTTATCGTGACAGGTCTACACAAGACTACAACCGCGTAGGAGTTAATGTAAAAACAACTATTTATACAGTAAAGAGTACAAGGAAAGAATACTGTATATGTAAAAAGGCAGATTAAGCTTCCGATTCACTGCCAAATCTTCAGCTAACTCACTACATGCCTTGTCTTTCTGCTGTTCTTGTAAAGGCTGACTACTCTATTGGCTCAGGTGCATTTTTGAGAGCATTTCAACTTCAAGGGCAAATACTTTTGACAGTTCAGCCTTTCTTACAGAGTGTTTTTCAGTTCTGTTTTTTTTTTTTTTTTTTTTTTTTTTGCCCCATGGGGTTTACGATAAATGTAGCAGATCACACATCATTTAAGGAAATGTCAAAACTTAAATTTCACTTTAAAGCTAGTCAAGAAGTAACAGCCATGTAGCCTTGTGAATGCCCAATCTCGTCTCGTAAGTAGGGATGGAACCATACCCAAATCACTCTGTATGATATTTTCACCATATACCGTGGAGGCTAACATAATCCATAGATAATAATTCATAATCCATAATCCAAAGAACAAAGATTTAAAAGTGCAGTTATTAAGTTCAATAGACTTTTTTCCACAAAGGCCGGAAGTGCCACAATGTTGGGTTAACATCACTTATGTTAATGCTTTTCTATGGCAAAATATCTGTGGAAATGTCTCACGTATTTTCCACAAGTTTCATCAATCTGCCTTCTAAACTACTAAATCTTCATCCAAAAGGCCGACAAAGGACATGGACCGGACAAAGGACTGTCCATGAAGAATTTATCCACAACTATCAAGGTAAGAAAGACAAAAACATAAAGGCTAACAATGACAAGCATTAGTGAACTACTCATGAGCAAAACTAACATTATGGTCATGAATAAAACATAAGTAACTTGTGAACTCAGACTGATACTACAATTAAAATTAAAAATCGATTTCATGACGTCAATATTAGCAAAGATTTGTGTAGTTTTCTGTAGCATTCGAACGGCACAAATCTGTCTATGCTAATATCTACATCATGAAATAGATTTTTAATTTTAATTCTTGAATCAGTCTGAGTTCACAAGTTACTTATTAATGAATTACTTATTACTTATGTTTTATTCAAGACCATAATTAGTTAGGTTTGCTAAGGAATAGTTCACTAATGCTAGTTGTTGTTAGCCTTTATATTTTCATCTTTCTTACCTTGATAGTTGTGAATAAATTCTTCATGGACAGAATATGTCTTTTGTCGACCTTGTTGATGAAGACTTGGTGATGGGGTAGATTTATGAAGCTGGTGGGAAATACGTGAGCCATTTTCACAGACATAGAAAAGCATTGACGTACATGAGGTCTATTACGCTTTCATCTCACTGAAACGCAAAGGATCATGGTCTATGTAGTTCCCTCTGTTCTTATGGAATTGCAATAACAGCAGTAACAGAGACTTCCATCTATATTGTGATGGCCCATGACATTATTGTGAGGCTTTTGACAATAAAATATCATGATGGGCCTGGTTAGTACTGGGGTGGGAGAGCGTTAAAAATACCAGGTGTCGTAGTCATAGTAGTAGTAGCAGTGTCTCAGAGTGCTCATTTACCAACCCCCGAAACCCTCCAAGCCTAATGCATACTGTTGTTGTACCCTTGGGAAGACACTTTAGCACCTTTGCCTACAGAGTCGATGAGTCAATGAGAGTGTGTTTTTGGAAAGTCAATGCAGAACAATGGATGAAGTTACCACATGGCTACAATCTGGTATGCACTGCTCCGGCTATAAACCTATAACGAATAGACGTGAACACAACTTTTAGTTACATGAACTCTCTCAGTACTCAGTGCCATGTCAGTCAATTGACGAAAACCAATACGGAGAATAATAGAATATCTACTTCATAAGAGCAACTTTTCTAACATAAAATCGATAATAGCCTAGATACTTTAAAGTCTCCTAAGTACAGCCTTATGTCCCAACTTTTCAAAAGACTAGGGATGTTGTTATTATTGATGCGTAGCAGAATGTCTCACTGTAATATGAAATGATTCTAGAGAGACAGTGAAATTTGACGTTAAGAGGTAGAAGTCTATGATCAGATGATGAGGGGTGATTTCAGAGCAGACTATTGAGCGGCCGGGTACGTCACGCCACAGAGAGCAGGTCGATAGCTCATCATTGCCATCATTTGAGGAGGTAAATCTCGCCACAAACTGAGTAGAGAGAGGACGGCAGCGATGGCTTTCCCCACAGAGGTGACACTGGAGACAATCAGCATGTAATAACACAGGGCTTTGAAAACTGCTTCAGCGAGCAGAGTAGCAGCTAAGAGGGTGCCCCAGATCAATACAAGAATGGGATACTTAAACTTAATGTGTAGAGAAAGTTTAATGATTATTATATTGATTTTTATTATGATATGTGGGTTAATAATTCCTAATAGTTTCAACTAAGTGAATATTCATTATCTAATTAGCTCATGATAATTTCAAGTTAAACTGAACTTTAAAAGGAGTGAAGGAGTAAAGTATTTTGAGCTTTGGAGATGTAGACAGACTAATAATAAAAGGAATACTCAAACATACGCAAATGAAAACACAACTCCAAGTATGAAGTTACATAGTACATAGATGCACTATGTAAATTTTCTGGTTAAGGGTTCACCATCTACTTGTCTCCATGGAGAGGTCAATGCTGGCACCAAACATGTCTCTATCTAAACAAGCAGGTGATCAGGTCAGGTCAAATTTGTGGAGAGGCAAGCCCACTCGCAGCAAGAATGCACATTTTTTAAAGGGACAGTCTGGAATTTTGGACATTGGCTAACTGGGAAGTGAAGTCCTGAATGTTGGAGATGTGTGGAGACACCATTCCATCCAGTCCTTGTATTTGCAGAAGTCACTGGTGCAAGGCTAGTGCATGTCAATGGCCATAGCTAGCCTGCCACTAAAAACAGTCTTACCCACTCCACAAAGCACCTGAAGCAAATCTATTATTACGCCAGACTATCGATGTAAATGTCTGTGTTGATAGAAAAATTTTAGAAGTAAAACCAACCTTGCATTTGAAGGATTTATGTCTGAGCAGCAGCAGTGAGTTGTTCTTCCTGATCTGATCTTGCTGGCAAAGTAAAATTCCACTGCTGCTGAGAAAATAGTCCCTTAACATGCGACGATTCATGTGAAGCAAGGTTAGTTTTATTTCAGACACTAGTCTATCATCACAGACATTTACATTGACAGTCTGGCGTAATAATAGATTTGCTTTGGGTGTTTTGTGGAGTGGGTAAGCAGGCTAACTATGGCCATTGACATGCACTAGCCTAGCACCAGCAACCTCTGCGAATACAAGGACTGGATGGAATATTTCAAAAAGTGTCTCCACACGTTTCCAACACTCTGGTTAATTAGGAAATGAGGCCCTATGTCCAAAATTCTGGACTGTCTCTTTAAGTTAATTTTGTGTGATAAAACTCTACTGCATAGTAAAGTATTATACGATACAGCTGCTAAAAAAGCTAAGTAGGAACATTATCCATAAAACAAACAGGTGGTGGGCACCTTACCAGAAAAGTTACACAGTGCACCTTTAATTTGTGATTACAGCCTGGGGTGAAAACATAAACACACATCAAGTTTCAACAAACATTTACAAAGGCTTCACATAGTTCTAGGGAAAACATTAATACCATTGGATATCACTGATGAGTAAACTGAATCAGTAGTTCATAGCTGAAAGTGAGAACAGGATATTCTGAGCAGCAGTTTGAAACCAAGTCGCATGAAGATAGGTCCCTTGATGCCATGCAAAGAAGGCACCAGGTCCTACTGATAAAGTCAAATGTATTCAAAGTGGGGCCAAATGAGGATGTTTGCACAAAGACCTAAAGCCACACATTGTGTTACACTGGTCACAATAGGAAGTGAAACTGTAAGGGTGTTTGTGAGCAAGGGATGATGAGAATGCTACTTTGTCAAAATTAGTTTTTTCATCTGTCTTTAGTTTGACATATCTCTCATAATTGATCTTATCTTCTTGTACTCCAGGAAGTACTGACCGATCAGGATGTCCTCTTAATCTTGAGTTCATTTATCAAAAAAATATGTCTACATTTTACTGTAAAACAGCATCAAATCAATATCTAGGCAAGTACATTTGTAAGTAGTTCAGGACCTGCTTGTTGGCAATAGAATATATTATTTTATTTTTCATACTCAACCAGAAACACCCTGAGCTCCACAGTATGGATTTTTGTTGAATTATGGAAAAAATAATAATCATGATTTTTTTTTTTTTTTTTTTTTTTTGCTTGGAGAGAAGGGGAAACAGTCAGGGTAAATGAAAAATACTTAAAATGAAGAGAACGAAGTGATGCAATCAAAGTAGGTGACTTATCTTTCAGAAATTGTTGTAAATGTAGCATAATAGAAAGGTAGGCCACCACCAGTGAGCTTTTCCACTTCAGGAAACTCATATGTGTGCCATGAAAGTACTTAAGATTAAAGGTCCTATATCACACAAAATTTACTCTTTTGAGCTTTAAGACATGTTATAATGTTGTTACATCATCAAAACATACCTGAATTTATGTTTTGGTTCATTTACACATGTTTGAGTAATCCTTTATCATTAGTCTGTCTACATCTCAAATGCTCTGTTCTACATTGTGATGTCACAAAGTGGTAGTTTTCAAGTTAACATCTTTTTTTTGCCTTTACTTTGGTAGAGATTGCCAATTCCAGGGCTGAAATAATCCACATGATTATAGTGAAGGTGTGTGGAGTGTAAAAACACAGTGGAGCACTTCCTGTATTACCACATGACATCACAAGTTGGAACAGAGTGTTTTCTGGTTGAGAACTCAACCTAAATATGCAAGATTTGTGTGTTAAACATGTGTGAATGAAACAAAACACAACTTCAGGTCTGTTTGTGATGACATTTATAACATAAATCAGAAAATAGTCTAATATGAGCCCTTTAATGTTAATAATCTTGATTGCACATTTTTAATATATTAATAATAATTTTAATTGAAATATGATTAATTGCACAGAGTTAATGGATTGTTTGACATGTTTTTGTTATGGTAACACCGGATGTGTAGTAAACTAAATAGAGATTGACTGTAATAAAATGATGCCATCGCTGTATGAATAAATAAGTGAGTTCATTTCCTTGTTTATGACTTAACTTTTTCTTTACTACATGACTGTTGGCAAAGATATTAAACTGTGAAACTGCAAGCAAACGCCACTGCCAATGTAAACACTCCAGTCAGGGAAAGCCTCTTTTACACCAGGGAAACTGAGCCCTTACTCCAAGCCACAACTGCTCTCCATTTGGAAACATGGGGAGATATATTATGTCATATACATATTTAGAGCAGTTTTCCAATATTCAAAAATAGCAATGCCGGTTCTGTCCGGGGTGGAATAGAGCCATTATGTCAGGCAGGATTCCCCTACTCCACCCTGGTCCAACTGGTCGCCACTCCAAAGCTCAAACCAACCAACCGCATACTTTAAAAACACAGTGTGACATGAACTTTTGACTGGTGGTTGTGAATCCAGCTAAGGAGAAGTACTGTTTCCAATCTCTTCTGAAACGCTATCAGCACCGTGGAAAAGCCTACATTTCAAGCTTAGCAGTTTCCACATGAAAAAGGTACAGTTAACTAGATCGGAGAGGACTTAAGTGTCAATTTCCTGGGCAATTTGGGCTGGAGATCTCTGGGGGAATATTTGAGAATTCATATGATGGATTTAGGAAAGAAATGTAACTAACAATTTTACTCTCTTTCTACTTCTATACTGATCTATACTTGCCTTACTCAAGTCAAAACAAAGCATAGTGAACTCAAGTTTAGAGCTAAATTAGCTAAAATTTTAAACTGGGCTCTGTAAAGGTTTGTATTGGTTAACTGCTATTAAAATCGTCATTACTATTTTAATTGTATTAGTCTAGTTTTGGACTTTAAAAAAACTTTAATTGTGATCAAGTCATTATTTTTGGCTATTGTGAAATGAAAGTTTAGTAGGTAAATTTACCATTGGATACTTAAGATTATATTGCAATATTACACAATAACTACTAAATAAATACAATAACTAAATATAATGCAATACCAACAATTTTGAGCTGGCAGAAATATACTGTGTTTTTTTTTTTTTTTTTTTTTTTTTTTTTTTTGGAAAACACTGAAAAAATTCCTCATCATTTCAGTGTGTGTCAAAAAATATTGCAAAACAAATTGCAATAATGTAAATATTCTAGGAAATATTTTGCAATGTTCTTGGACATTGCGCAGACCTATTGTTTTGTTGTTTAATGTGTGCTGGACTTACAAAGGAGACACATGCAGCCAGCAGCAGTATTCTGACCAGGAGATCTTCAAACTGCTCCACCACCAGCTCCCACAAGGATTTCCCTGTAATATGCAAAGAACAACAGTCATCACATTGTATAAAGTATGTCTACCTGTAGGCGTGTGCAAAAATACGAAAATACTGATATATTGTGATACTAAATTTGGCAATACAGTTATTGTGGGCTGCTGTATCAATATATTTCCTAAAGAAAAATACATTTTTTTAAAAATGTGCTCATGGAATAAAAATAGGTGTTGCTGATCTCTTAACACTGCACCAACAAAGCGGTGTCCACTCCCTAAATTTACTCCTCAGCAAACACAGACAAAGGGATCATGGTAAAGATATTTATGCATGTAGTTTAAAAGAAGGGGCAGTAGAACAGTGGAAAAATCAATATTTACCTTCTTCAGCTGGGAGCTCTGTGGAGAATCCAGGAATCACCAAGAGGCGGGGCATGGGGGATAGAGAAAGAGCAGTTAATATATTTGAACTGGGACGCATGAACAAACACACTATTAAGAGGCTTGGTGAGTCATCGGTTTGGTTTGATTAGACTGTGTTTGATAAGACATTCAAGCAAATCGCAAACAGTTGGTCAATATAAACAAAGATACAGCAATAATAGGATGCATGGGCAGATAAATCTTTGAAGTCAAGTGAATGAATGCTAAAATGTTAGAATATTCTGACTAGAACGTGACCGATATATCGGTTGGCCGATATTATCGGCCGATATGGGCACCTGGAGGCTGACAGGGGCCGATATTTCACGTGGGCATGTGATACGTCGTTAAAAATCTTAGACTCTCTACATTATGTTCATTTAATCCAATTTACAGACCGATAAATGCCCTAATATGTGGCTCCACATCAGTATTTATCTACGGAGTCATTTGTCTGTGTGTGTGTCCATACTGTCCCTGAACACACCACAGAGTCGTGTCACTCAAGTGCGTTTGTTTACACCTGCAGACACAGATCCAAACACTGAGATTATATTCTTTTTACGGACAGTCGGTTTGAGTCTGAATTAAAAGGACATTTATTAGTGCAGATTTGTGATGTGAGGAGGAGCCTGTGTGAGCGGTGAGTGTTGGAAATATGTCGACTCTGAAGCTAGTTTTGGTCATTTGTTATGGGTTAGCTGCTGTAGCTCCCGCACATAAACAGGCTGCTTTCTATTGGTCTGTTCTAAAGTGACTATATTGGCCGTATATTTGTTACTGGACCTGCACTGATATGTAAATGAGCTGTGAATAGACGTGTGAATTATGACATTTGCGCATATAATTAATTACCGCGGCGCGCAGCATTTACGGCTAAAGGCTAATAGCGCTACTTTCTTTACTAGTTATGGGTCCGTCGCGAACGAAATGACTCTTAGAACCGGCTCTTTGAAGCGAACAACGAGGGCCTGATCCTTACTGGGACCCGTGTTTTCTCTTTCTCTCACTTTTTTTCTCTTCACGCCGCGTGCAGACTCGTGGTTTGACAGCGGCAGCGGCTAAAAACGAAACTTTGAGAAATTTGCGTGTACGTAGGATTAAAAAACAAAAAAACGAGCATAGTTGGCTGTAGTTTAGCATAAAATAAATAAGTCCCGGTGTAGTCCTTTTTCAGTCCTGGTTCAGTCCTGCTTCAGTCGTGCTTTAGACCTGCTTGCAACAAAACAATCTGAAGAGCCGCTTGGGAGCGAAAAGAACCTGCAGCTTTTAGTGAGCCGAGTCAAAAGAGCCGGTTCTCTAAAAAGAACTGGAATACCCATCACTAGTGTCTAGAATGTGATGCAAAAATGCCATTAAGCCAACCTACTGTCTGTAAATATGATGTAAAGAGGCAGAATAACAATAAATGTTTCCTAAATAAACCCAATTTAAAATCCACCAGAGCCAAACCTAAGTTTTTTAAACAATTCAACATTTACAGTGAATTTTTACATCACTAAATATATCGGTGATTATATCGGCTATCGGCAGCTCCAACTTCCATTATATCGGTTTCATATCGGCCACAGCAAAATCCATATCGGTCGGGCTCTAATACTGACTGAGGTGAAAACAAAGATCAATTATAGATTATATAATTCTGCAGTTTAACATTTCTTCTTTGTGTCATATAAATAGAAAGAAATGTGATTTAAAAAAAAAAAAAAAAAAGGTAGTTTGATTACAGCCAAAATAAGCATTACATGACTTTGTTGAAATGTGAATGGGAGGTTATGAAGTTTTGAATTAGACAACATTGAATTAGGGATGCACATACTGTAAAACAGCCAACAAATCTACAGTTCTTCTGATCTTAGACTTTGGAGTCTTGTGTCGGCTCCACAGGAAAAAGTAAGCCTGAAGATGTTATTCATCATACAGCCATCGGCTTTGTTATTAGCGCACTAGTTCACCACTTAGATTGCAGTTTTTACTTCCTTTAGAAGTGGCTAAAACCACAACAAACCCGCGGGTTGTCATTATTTAATAATCATTTTTGCGTTTCCTCTAGGCTAAGTTGTCACCGTAAATAAGAATGGGGAAATGCCAAAATAAAAAACAGGATGTGTATAATTACTTCATAGGCAAACTACACGAGATGTTTTCTAAAAAACTATAAGGCTGTAGCCTAAACTGCAGAGTTTAGTCTTCTTTCATTTGATTAACATTTGATTAACAAAACCTGTCAAGACTGTAAACACAGACGAGTACAGCAGTGAAGTAGGAGCACATTAGTGTTTAGAAAAACACTGCAGTGACAAGTGCGTTTGATGGATGTCACCACAATGAGCAGCACTTAGTCATGGCATGTGTCAAGACCAACGCACCAGTGCACAGAAGAGGTCTATTTCGGCAAACAGCTCCGCAGCAATCATAACGCTCATGTAATCATCGTACAGAGCCCGGGCCTAATGACAGGGGAAATCAGAGGAGGAGGCACCACCGGGACACAATGACATCATCACTCGGAGCACAGGAAATCCCTCAGCAGGTTTTAAGCAGAGCCTCTACAAGGACCAAACCAGCCCCGAGGAGGAGGAAGTGGGGCCATGTGTTAGAGGCCAAACACAAACCATACTGCTCGCTTACATACTGCAAAGGGGAAACATGACATATTGGTTATAGAGGACTGCCGTTGAGGTTTATGTGGTCATGACTCAATATCGGTGGGTTTATATTTCACATAAAGATAAAATCATCTAAGGGAACCTTTGATTTGTGTGTAGCAATTTACAATTAGCTAGAGCTGAGCTGACTGCTGCTGTACAAGGCATAATAAGGCTACAAGTCAAAGCTCTGTCAACACCCCACTGTGAAGACAGTACGTGTCCTCCCCTGATATTAATATCTGATGACTCATCGCAAGCACTGCTTCACTCAGCTGCCGTCAGCTCGGACACGGTCACAAATGCAGGGGACATTCAGCTGCACTGCTCACTACAGACCTGTCCCCCAGCACAGACCTCAGCACAGACCTCAGCACAAACCTGTTCTTCAGATGTGTGGTGAACTCCAAAGTGAGTATTCCTGTTTCCACACTGCAGCAGCCTGACAAAAGCCTGTTTTCCCATTACTGTGCCTCTCAGGTTGTATAATGTTTTTATGGCAGACAGTCTGGCAGTGGCTCATATGCTGCAGACAAACACAGGCTCTGGTGGACAGAGGGAGCAGAGAGGGCCGCAGTGCAGAGTGGGGTTCCCCGGCTTCCCCCTGCCAAGGATTCCCTCACAGTCATCTGGCCTGTGTCAGCTGCAGGCTTGCCCAGGCACATTCCTGAGTACTGACTTCAGCTCTCCCACTGTGTCCCCACACCACCTCCCGCTCCAGGGGCCAGACAAAGAATAAAAGCCTTGTTTACGCACAGCAGCACAGGGCAGAAGGGAGACACTTCCTGGAGACTGTTGCCAACAACAACGGGGCGCAGCATCCACAATCAGGAACAGGAAACTGTCCGGGTGTCTGTGCAGCTGGAAATAAACTGCTGAGGTGTACATTTTTACAGAAAGGGACAGTATTCATTATCTTATAAGGCCTTATCTGAGTATGAAAAGAACAAGTTCAAGATCTTTTGTGTAAACTACTAACACGAAAAAGTTTGCAGCACTTGCCCTGGAAACTTGTCTCCTGAACAACAACACTGCAGTGTCTATTAAATGAACAAAGAGTAATTCTTATGCAATCTGCAGGACCTTAATATGGCAAAACATAATCAGACAAAGGGCTGCAGAGCTTGTGACAACAACACACACATCTCACACACACACAACAGAAGCCAACACCAAACAGCAGTGTGCAAAGTCTGAAGGAGAAGATTCAGCTCTAAGTGGCTCCTGCTCAATGAAAGGATTTAAAGGAGGCCTAAATATACAGTAACAAGAGCCTCTAATGACATACTGTATCTTCAGTAATGCATTCCTCACTGTAAAAGGTTGGAACGCATTAACCATATGAAATGTGAATTAAAGATTCTGAATGTTCTCTGTCAGTCATTATCTGAGCACAGAGCACAGCAGAGCTCGGGGCGCCTCTCATCATCTCAACGTCAGAGGAGGGTTTCCCCTCTCAGATGAGGTCATGTGATCTTTCTGCAGATAGTTGCGCCAGAGTGCACCAGGAGCACATAGCAAAAGTGAAAACTGTGTGTTACACTATCAGAAAGAAATAATGAAGCAAAATAAGCATTCATATGTGGATACAGGGATGAGGCATGATCGTGCTGAAGATGATAGAGATGGGAAGCTGCTTAGGCCAGCCTTTATTTTTACAACTTTATTTGATAAACTGTTCGAAGATAAGCAATCTCCATAGTGATGGTGCCCAAATCTTCCATCTCTGTGAGTCATGAGAGGCTGATTGCTTCTGGTAAAGTTAGATAGAGAAATCAAATTAACTTTGTTCAGTGGATATTTTCACAGGGTAAATTACTTATTTTCCATGGATGGAAACCTTGTCATTTTTAGTGGAATTTCAAAAGTTGTAAATGTATCCCAAAAGAGGCACAGCACCAGAAATCTGATGCCTTTGTTTTGAAGGTCAAAAATGAAATAAACAGAGAAGATGCACCAAACAGTAAAAAAACTCTGCAACTCCCCAAACAGCCCAGTGAAATCTGTGCTAACACAAGGCTATTTATAGTTTATTCCTCATTTAGAAATCAGAGCAACACTTCTGACCAATCACAAGCTGGTACAGTATAACTTCACACAGCTCAAATGATGTCAGAGAGGTACTGAAGTAAATTGATTGTTCCTTTCTGACATTTCAGTAATTTATGTGTGTTAGTAAATACAAAAGTGCACAAGTGCCTTTATCTGCTTCACTGCAGAATATTTCTCTTTGAATTAAAGAGCCCACGTATCGATCTTTTCTGATCTATGTTATAATGTTGTTTCCTCATCACAAACATACCTGGAGTTGCGTTTTGTTTCATTCAC